TTTATTTTCGACCAATCACATCTACGAATAGATTCGGTTTCACAGTACACTTTCATCCTCAATTTTATATTGGAACTAGAATTTGAATTTACGCGCGCAAGCGCGCGCTTTGACTATAGAGTTTGCATATATTTTCATGCTTATGATATATTCGACCAATCACGTTACGAATAGTTTGATGCCACATACATTTCATCTCAATTTTATTATGGGATACTTTCTAATCTTTCAAATTAATTTTAATACTTTTTTATAGACTTTTAACTTATGAAGTTATTTTCAACCATTTTTTTAATAAAGAAAGTTTAATTTTAAATTTTTTAGTTAAAAAACATGAAAAATTTTCAGTTTTTTAATTCAATGTAAAAATTATACACCTCAAAAGGCAAATAGTTACAATTGTTAATATTACTGTTGTATTAAACTAATTGAAAAAAATTTTTTAAAGTATTTATCATGATACAATTGTCTGGATTTGGAATAACTGCTGGAGCACACAGACTATGGTCTCACAGAGCATACAAAGCTAAATGGCCACTGAGATTGCTGTTGATATTTTTGTTTACAATAGCAGGCCAAGTGAGTAAATTTTTAAATTAATACTAATAGAAAAAAAAAAAAAAAACGAGATTTTTTCCATTGATAATAAATGATCAATTTTAATTACAGAGGCATGTTTACGCGTGGGCACTGGATCATCGAGTTCATCACAAATACAGTGAAACAGATGCTGATCCACATAATGCAAAAAGAGGATTTTTCTTTGCTCATGTAGGCTGGTTATTCATCACACCTCATCCAGATGCTGTCGCCAAACGCGAAGCGGTTGATATGAGCGATCTTATCGCTGATCCTATTGTCATGTGGCAAAAAAAGTAAATATTTTTATCATATCTATTAATACAGAATTAAGAAATAATTAATTTATCACCTATGATAATATCAATGGAGAATTTTTTTATTTCAGTAGCAGGTTATTAAAAAAATTATAAATTTTATTTGTTATAGGTATTACATTCCACTATTTGCATTACTTTGCATAGGGCTACCAGTTATAGTGCCTTGGTACTTTTGGAATGAGCCATTGTGGACATCATTTTGGGTTAATTTCAATTTTCGCTTCTGCGTGACTTTGAATATTGCATTTCTCGTTAATAGTGTAGCGCACATGTGGGGTCATAGGCCTTATGATAAGTAAGTAAATATTTTTTCTTTGAATCGATAATTAGAACCGTTTAATGACCTAATCAATAAACTTATAAACTTTTTTTTTTATTGCAGAAGTATATCTCCAACAGAGAATAACTTTGTGTCAGTATTAGCGCTAGGCGAAGCCGCACATAATTACCACGTAAGCGTTTTCTTTTTTTTTTAACTAAGAATTAAAATTTTCCTCTGTAAAATAGCTTATTTTTCCTTCAAGCTGCAATTTACTTTAAATTAACATTTTTAGTATTTTTTTACACTTAAGCTCCATTCTTTTATAATTCTTAACTTTGAATTAGAAGTTTTAAATTTCTTCTCACTTCAAATTAAAATTATAAGATACTTTTTTTTATTTGAAATTAAATTTTGTAGTTATTATTTAAATTTACATCAAAATTTTTTATCATATCTTTTAACTTGAAATTATTATTAAAGTTTTTTATTCAATTTAAATTACTATTTTCATTTTGTCTTCTTTAAATTATTATTGTGAATTATTTATAATTTATCTTCTAATTTTTTATTTTAACATTAGTATTTTAATAATAATAAAATTAATTTAATTTTTTAAAATATTTTTACAGCATGTTTTTCCCTGGGATTACAAAACTAGCGAGCTAGGTCAGTATTCACAAGAACTTCACTATTAATAAAAATATTCTTCAAAAGAATTTATTAAAATTAAGATTATTTTTAATAAATTTTTAGGTAGCTACACATTCAACCTGACAACTGGTTTTATCGATGCATTTGCCCGTCTTGGATGGGCATATGATTGCAAATACGCATCACCACAAATGATACGCCGACGTGCCAATCGTACGGGTGATGGTAGCCATACGGATCCAAATGTCTGGGGCTATGGCGACGAAGATTTAACAAGCGATGATCTCAAAGACATAGACACCATGGGCTTTCATAGTCATTAATCATAATTATAGCAATAATTATCATTTATTACGTACTTTTCAAAACAAAAAAAATCGCTTAAAAATACGGGGTATTTATTTACTATTGTAATGAAATTTTTTTTCCGTTCAACACTTGAATCAATTCTCATTAACGTTTTTAAACCCGTAAATAGGTAACGTCTTGGATTATTATAAATTCATGATTGTAAATTTATTCATTAATTTTTTTTTTTTGTTTTTTTACACTGTATATTATTATATTAGTTAATACGTGATTTGAGTCGAGGATACTTGAAGCCAAGTTTTTAGTGACCTAGGTTTTTCACTTCATTAAAAAATATTTATTTATCGCAATGTCATCAATATTATTGTTAACTAAATGTATTAAAAGTTGTAGTATTTTTTTACTGATAGTACACAATACTTTCAATTTAATGATTTAATATAAATATTAATTATAACTGTTATAATTTTTTGATTACTAATGGCTGTTATAGTATTAAAAAAGTAAATATTTATATTAATTTAAACACTCGACAGCAGTACACATTGAGTAAAATCAATTTAGCTGGAAATATTGCACGCCTCATAGCGCGAAGCGCGTATGAGGTTGTGCTTTATACTCGACTTGTCAATAAGGCCAAACAATTTTGTGATCTTTAAATGCCTCTATCACAACCATATTACACTTATACAATAATATAAGTAGATGTACACCGAAAAAACACTTAAATAAAACCATCTTTTACTTTCTAAAATCGTTTCATGTTGCTATTTTGAAAAAAAAAAAAACGTTTTGAAAAAAATTTTACGTGGACGTCCGGATGTCACCCCATTTTGGATGTACCAACGATTACTCCCGAACAAATTGACATTTCAAGACCGGACCTTTTTCATTAGTTTAAGAATTCGATGAACTGGGTCCGTATTGTATATCAGTGGCCTAGTTTACGTATTTTTTTTTAAATTGAATTTTTATTAAAATTCACTCCGATATAACCGTACAAAGTCAAACGAACTTTTCTTATTTGTCACGTGAAAACTATGGCGCCACTTGATCAAGCTAGATTTTTTTTATTTTTTTAGACTGCGTGCGCATATGACACGAAAAAAAGAGCGCTGATATTTAAAAAAAAAATAACAAATACTCTGTAAGAAATTACTTAATTATAATTTTTTTTTTTTTTTTTTTTTAATCAATTACACAATTAATTTTTTTCTTAAAAAATGAATGAGCGTTATGAGGCGTGCACTTTTGGATTTTCCAAACTTTTTAAACTTTATTTTTATTGTTAATTCCTCGAGTTAATATATACAAAAACAATATATTGTGTAATTTACAAGTGAATATTAGTAAATAAATCAAATGTTTATTTATAAAAATAAAATGTTATAAGATAATTAACGTACATATGTCTGTGACAAAAATTTATTTAAATAATAATCACAATAATATATATATTTATTGTCAAGTTGTAATAGTTTTTTTTGTTTTTAAAAAGCATTCGAAAGGAAATGACAATGTTAATTAATGCTGAGGAGTACGAATTTAATCAAGTTTCAAAAGCGGGTCACAAGGGTTAAATAGAGTAGCGAAGGTTTGTGAGGAAACATTATACGAAGCTTAGCAGTCGTTATTGAGCCGTTTCAATAGTTATTTTATTCTTGTAATTCATTCAGGTAACATTTATGACTTGAAAACGTTGTGGATCTGGTGCTACTCTAGTGTGATAATTATTTTTTTTTTTTTCTTTAAGACTTAAATAAATATTAGTTTATATAAATAGTGTAGAAACAGTTTTATTAATTAATAACAAAAAAAAAAAAAAAATGTCTGAGCCGGAAAAAGCAGAGTCTGAAAAAGGAGAAATGCAATGGCACATTATACTTTGGTACATTCATTTGTACGCATTGGGATTATATGGTGTATATTTACTTTTGTTCTACACATCATGGATGACAGTCTTTTTTAGTATGAATTTTTGGATAATTATAAACTTTTCTTCTTTTTTTTTGTGGTGTATTATAATTATTACTTATGATAAAATTATTTTTTAGCGATATTGATAACTTATATCGGTGGACTGGGAGTGACGATCGGAGCACATCGTCTTTGGGCGCATCAAACTTATGAAGCCGTTTGGTATATTAGATTATTTTTGATGCTAGCTCATACTTTAGCCGGAGTTGTACGTTTGTTTAAATATACTAAAATTAGCAGAGAAACAATCAAAATTTTAATAATTATTAATTTTACTATTTCTTCAGGGGTCAATTTACGATTGGGTTCTGGCTCACAGAATTCACCACAAATATTATGGCACCGAGAAAGATCCCTTCAATCCAAACAAAGGATTTCTTCACTGTCATCTTATTGCTAATGCAATGACTAATCCACCAAACTATGAACAAACTGCAAAAGCTATAGACATGCGAGATATTCATCTCGATGGATATGTTTGGTTCCAAAACAAGTAATTTTATTTTTCTTTTTTGAATACTCAAGTCAGGCATTTGATAATTCTTCAGTTTTTCTTTAAATTAAACAAATTAATAAAAAGAAGAAATAATAAATTTAAAAAATTAATAAAAAGAAGAAATAATAAATTTTAAAAATTAATAAAAAGAAGAAATAATAAATTTAAAAAATTAATAAAAAGAAGAAATAATAAATTTTAAAAATTAATAAAAAGAAGAAATAATAAATTTTAAAAATTAATAAAAAGAAGAAATAATAAATTTAAAAAATTAATAAAAAGAAGAAATAATAAATTTAAAAAATTAATAAAAAGAAGAAATAATAAATTTAAAAAATTAATAAAAAGAAGAAATAATAAATTTTAAAAATTAATAAAAAGAAGAAATAATAAATTAAAAAATTATCAAATCTTTGCTATTGTAAAAAAATTTTTAAATTGAAATATTATTTCAGATTCTACTGGCCATTATTTTTAATCATAGGAATTCTGCTACCAATAAATGCACCCGCTGAATACTGGGGAGAATCGATAGCTAATTCAGTATTAGTCCTTGGATTTTTTCGTTTTGCAGTATTGTCAAACATGGCCTGGCTCATCCACAGTGGAACACTCATTTGGGGACTCAAACCACATGAAAAGTTAAAATCGCTTCTTGATACTTATTCATTAATATTTAAGTTATTCGTTAATCGGCCACGCAGTCATAGCACTGTTGTAATTGATAAAGATGGAGTATACAGTCAATATATATATTAATTACTAATGACTATTATTACTTCCATCTTTAATATGTAAATAAATAAAAATTTAACAGTGAAAACTAAATGTTTCTTTTTTCTTTTTTAGATATCCTCCCGATGACAATATGGTATTTTTAATAAACAAATCTTACTGGCTTAATTATCACTACATACTGCCATGGGATTGGAAGTGCAGCGAATATGGTTCTTATGACAAAGGATGGGCTACGAATACAATTAAAATTTTAAATATTATTGGTCTGGTTAATAGAATGAAAACAGCATCTTCAGAAAGTATACGGGACGCGTTATTTAAAGCTTCTACCTCGAAGAAACCTTTCAATGAAATAATGGATGAAGTCAAAGAAATAGCTTCTGTAGAAGCTGATAAAATAAATCTTCGTTATCATCATTAATAAAATGTATTGATTTAATAATAATTATTTTTTAATTTTTTCTTTTATTTAAAAAACCTCTGTCCCTTTAATGCTTCTAGTTGATTGTAATAAGAAGAAATAATGGAAAAGTTTCTTATATAATTTAAAGAAGTCATTATTTTGTACATTTATATGCTCATACTGAAAAAATATGTACGTCGCATGTATGAAATATATACGTCACATATTTTTTTTTTGCCGGCGTATAAATTATTTCCATATGGGTGTAATTATTTATTTCTTCAAGTTGAAGATTACATAAAACAAATAAAAATAAACTTTAAGGAGATAATGTACTTAATATAGCGTTTTTCAGTATAACAATCATTTTCAATGATAATTTTAAATTGCAGGATATCATTAATAAAAAAAAAAAAATAAATAAAATAATGTCTAAAGATTGTATTTTTAAGTAAGAAAATAATTTAAAATAATCACTTGATCAAAGTCATGTGCTTATTTATATTATCAATATTTTTATTTCAAATATAATTCCAAAAGTAAACAAATTATGTTTATATTGTATATAAGTATATTTAAAAAATTTTTTTTTAAAGAAATGAACAATTCTCTAATTATGAGATCAGGTAAGCTTTAATCATGTAAAATTTATTTAAACTTCAATAACTAATATACTTATAGAAGAGAACTTGATTTCTTCGCTTCTATGTATTATTAGTTCATAAATATGCAGCACTTTTTTATACTAATAAATATTATGCATAAGAGAAATTAATAAATTAAATAAACAATAGTTATATTTTCCTTACTATTACAAAAAATTGTTTTTTAAGATGAATCTTAATATATTAGCTGTAACTTTTGATGATTAAGAAAGGAAAACTCGACCTTACTATCTTAATTTAAGGCTGTTTTACTAATGATCGCATACTTAGGAATTCATCCATAATTATTTTTTAAATGTATATAAGTATTACTAATAATTTTTCAAGATCAAGATGATGTAAAATAAATGGAAAGGAACTTTGAATAATGAGTTGTCTAAATTTAGTGTTTTCTAGAAGAACGAAAATCTCCAATGGTAATTTTAAATGAAGCAATATCTAAAAATTGTAAATTCAAATGAGAAAATAACTCGTTGTCGGAATAATCAATTCACCAAGCACAAGGTTGGGTGACCGATCAATTATATAAAAAAAAAAAAAAAAAAATTATTTGAATTCACTTTGAAAAATTTATTAATTTTCCAATTATGATCCAAGGCCATACAATTATGAAATTAGATTTAGTTACTCAAGTTTGTAGAAAAATCTAATATTTTTAAAATTGTTACGCATCATAGATTAAAATGTTTTGTTTAATAAAGTCAATTCATTTTTTAAAAAATTTGTATTTTATTTAATTTACAAGTTAAGATAAAAAATAACTGTGTTAAGATCTGAACTATTTAATAAATTTTACATCAATAAAAATGCGATCATTGTATCGGTGAAAATTTCTGTTAAAAAACAACTTGAATCAAAAATATATTTATATTATTAAATACTTATATTTTATTTGTTTCATTGTAATACGATACCAATAAAGTTTGTTTTTTTTTTTTTTTTACAATGTAAATGAAATTAAATGATTGTACAAAGTTATAATAATAATAATCATCCATTTGAAAAAATTATATTATTTTAATATTAATAATAATAATAATCAATATTATTATTTCTCGACTTTCGATTATTTATTTCGTTTGTGTTATTTATCAACACCAACTAAGTTATCTGTGTTATATTATTCTTACTTTTATAAATTATTAATCTATTTTAATATTATTATGTTATCAGTTGTCATTGTACAGTTATTATTATTAATTACATCCATATTGTGTTCTTTCTTTTTTAGTATGAAAAAATTTAATGAAAATTAAATTCAAAAAAATAAAACACAATGGGTTGATTAAAAAAAAAAAAAAAACAAAAAAACTATTGGATTCAGGTACCGCACAACAAGTATACAGTAATTAATTAAATAATATGCCATGTGAATTGAATTATATATATATTGATGAATATATAAAGATGAAATGAATGTTGCATTTATAAACATAATCAATAATTGCCATCGCTAAATTATTACTTGATATCAAACTCTTAGACGTAAAAATACTCTACGCGATTGACACAAATTGATTGATGAGAGATGAATTAATGAAACTATTACAGATAAATAATTGAAAAAAAAAAAAAAAGAAAAAAAATGGTTAATCAAAAAGTACGTCTGTGGTTGAAGAACCATCCTTGTATATGTGTTCGTACTTCCTGTTTATTTTGAGATTTTTAACTCTTTTATTTTTCATTTCTTTTTCTTTTCTTCTAATGCCTGAGTTGTATTATTCGCATAATCGTTTTCTTACTAAAAATTCTATTGAGTATGTAATTTATTTGTTGTTACAGCACTTTCTCTGTTATCAGGTGTTTGGTCTTTGTCACCCCATCCCCATACAGGATGTGAACCGTCACCTGTTCTCAGGACACGTTGTTTTATTATCTCTTGACTCACAACTTTGGTATCGTAGGCCCATCCAAGTAACGTAAAGAAGTCGATGAATGCTGTTGTAGTGTTTCCCCAGTATTTTCCCAATTCAGCCGCCTTGTAGTCCCATGGAAAAACGTGCTGTAAATATATTTATTGATATTAATAAACATGAATTGGCAATTAGAAATTAAAAAATCAACAAAAAATAGGTTAAACATAAAATTTAGTAAAAACTACAAATTCAAGTCAAAGAAGTAATTTAAAAGGAGGTCCTTTCGCCGCCAATGTAAAATAAAAAATATTAGATTATGAGTAAATTCAATTTTTTTCTAATAGTTAAGGTCCTTATTTATCTAATAGTGAGGTTTAAATTATACTTTACCGGACAAATTTTTGAAAAAATAAAATTTTTAAATGTTAGTATTTGTTCAGAGTCTTACGAGAAATAAGTCAGACGTTTGCAGTATTTCTCGAATTATACTATCAGTCATGGATTAGATGAAGTAAAAAAAAACTAAAAATTAGATTTTCGAAATATTCAGGTTTCTTTTTTTGCAATAAAATATATCAGTTACCGAGATATTTATTGAAAAATTAATATTTAAAAATCACAAAAAATTCTCAAGTAACCTACGTTAAAATGGAGTCAAAACATTTGGCAACGTTGCGTAGCGCGCGAGCTTCAGACCATTCAATAAATTCAAACTAATTTATTTATTTACACTGACTGCAAAAACTTAAACGTGGTTAAGGTTATATTGTGCAAATGAAAATGTAAACAACCGAAGTACAGCGTTGCCAAATCACGGACAAGTTACTAGCAGTTGATTTGAAAGAGTCAAATTAATTTTTGTATTTAACTATTTTTTTTTTTTATTTTCAAAATTTCAACGATTAATGCCTCATATACTATTTATTATTTAATTTTAGGAATTTTTATGGGTTTTTTATTTTAATTTATCGTATATTGACTACTACAATTGTTTTGACTCAACTGGAGCGAAAGGATTTCCTTAAGGTCAAAATAAAATCAAATTAAAATTATGTAACATATTTAAAAAAAAAAAAAAAAAACTTACATGATAATCGTGGAATCCTTCTCCGAGAGCTCCGAATGCGACCAAAAGATTTTCAGAAGGGTTGGTGTACCTGAAGAAATAAAAATAAAAAACATTAATTAATGAGAAAATTATGTCATATTAAATAAATAACATTTATCTCACTAATATTAAAATAAATAACTTACTTATCGTATGGTCTGTGCCCAAAGAAATGAGCAGCCGAATTGACCAACCACGTCATGTGTAAAGTCCAAACATAACGGAGGAAAACACCAACAAAGTATGCGTTCGACCATGATTCACCCCACAAATAAACCGGCGCAATTCCAGGCAAAATGAAGCAAATGAGTGGCATCAAGATTAAGTAATATTTATGTTGAAAAGAAACAACTGGATCAGCTTCCAGATCGCTCATGTCAATTCCTTTACCCTTTTCTTTAACATCAGGGTGTTTCTTACACAACAACCATCCGACGTGAGCGAAAAAGAAACCACGATTGGCATTATGCGGATCAGCATCTGTTTCACTGTATTTATGATGCACTCTGTGATCTCTTGCCCATTCGAATATGCTGTTCTATAAAATTCAAAATTATTTTATATCAGTAAAAGCAAATTTATCAAATTATTAACACATATTTTTTTTTTTTTCAAATTATACTTACTTGAAAAGCAAGTGTGTTGAAAATCATAAGAATAATCTTCATTGGCAATTTAGCTTTATAAGCGCGGTGTGACCATAATCGATGTGCTCCGGCTGTAACTCCAATACCTCCGCATTGGTATAGTATGAATGCTGGAAAAAAAAAAAAAAAAAATTAGATTAGAATATAAAAATCAACTATAACATTAAATTCAATATAAATAAATGTATAGTTACCATAAAAAGTAGTTATCAGCTTGGCAGATGTAAATGCGAGGTACATTCCATAAAGAGCAGTTGCATGAAGTACACAAAAAGCGTAAACATTGAACCAAACTATTTTTCGTTTGTATTGTGGTTTTGAAGGTGGACTTTTAGCTAAATCCTCTTCGCAAAGAGCTGTAAGCGCTGTTGTTACATTTGGTGCCATTGTTATTCAACTGTCAAACTTCCGGTATACACTGAAATATTAATATGAAAATTGATCATCAAATGAACTCATTAATATTGGAGGCGACAACTTATATACAATTACAAGTATCTACATATAGACATAAGATAATCTGAAACTCAAGATATTATCAAATCCAAAGGAGGGAACATTATCTATTGCACAATGTTTTTTTACTCCAAAAATAAAATTTTTCCATCACTGAGATAGTGAAAAAACAAAATTAACTGCTAATATAGTGATAAATTTGGCCAATTGACAGGTGACATAAGAGGTCAACTGATAGTATTTATTTTAGGGGTTTATCAGCAAATTTTTTTATTTTTTACAAAAAAAATTAGACACATAGAGCAATGATAAATGTATTCTAATAAAGATTTTTTGTGTCAATTACAGTTTAAATAAAGCTATCACGTGTCGAATTTCATTATTGATTGATTATAATTGTTAATATGATTAAAAACCAAGTCACTGATGCATCATTATCATCGGAATCATATTTAAATAATAATTATTAATAAGACAAGTTATTGTTATACAATTTAAAGTGGAATATTGTTTGATAAATAAGATAGGATGTTGTTGGAAATTAACAATATTATACAAACAAATTACAATCTACAATCCAAAATCAATTATGATGATGATAATAATAATAATAATAATAATAATATCGAAAAACTTTGGCATGCAAACAATCAGATGCACTTTGACAAACAAAGTACATTATTGCGCAATATAAAACACGAATGGATTTCGTGTCCGTGTCTTTGACAAATTGCCATTGCAAATAATCTATCAAATAATAATGTCTCAAAAAATACCATGAAAAATTTTTATTATTAAAATATTATAGCGGATTTACCTAAATGATAAATAGATAAAAAATATTCTAGGTATTTGTAAGAAAGTCCGAAAATTGATTGGTGATTTCAACCATTGATAAATAAACAAAGAAAAAAAAAGTCGTCTGACAAAGTAAACGACCGATAAAATAAATTTAATTATTCTATTTTAATTTAAAAAAAAAAATAAGGAATCACTTTGTTGATATAATTTGTTGTTTTTTTCAGCGATAAGAATGAATAACCCACTAAAACTTAATCACCCTAACGAGATACTTTTTCACTGAAGAGGAGCGTGTTCAGCATTGTACAGACGACCTATCGACTGACTGATAAATCCTGATGGGAATAGAGGAGCGCAGGCTTACATTGAGACGCCCCAAGCACGCATGGTACTTTCAACTGCCCTTCAATATACCTATACAAATACTTATGCGCATAGAAAATAACAAAAGTCTCCAGAAGTATCGAGAAAAATTATTTCTTCTTTAATTAAAGCTATTTTTATAACAAAAAATTATTATTCATCAATTAATTAATTACTCATTATTGATTACTTTCAGACAAAACAATGATTGTTAGGGAGCTAAAATAGATAACTACTAATTATGATGATCATTAAGTTTAATGATACCCAGAGCAATTAATTGGATAATTTAAAGAGAAATTAGGATAATTATTTAATTTTAAATTGACAAATAAAAGTGAATCTGGCTCTTTAAATTATTTAGCTGATTAAATAATCCATTGAAATAATATGTTTATCCATGTAAAAAATTATCGTACGTGAATTAAGTTGTTATCGTTACTAAATCGTTCATGCAAACTCCACGTGATACTACGTGGCATTAGGGTACGTTGTATCTCGTGTCGACGTGATCGGATTCACTTAGTCGTTGTTGTAAACAAAAAAATTATTTCGTCATGCAAAAGTTTATTCAAAATTTTCCGACTATTTTTTATAAAAAAAATACAATATTAATTATTAAATTTAATGTCAAGCTTATTTATCAAAATTAGAATATTAAAATAATTTTTTTTTTATCAACCAACACTAGCCAAAATTATTTCTTATCAAAGTAGTAAATTACACGACAAAGTAAGTCTATTTTATCAAAATAAACTCAGTTTATCGCGAAATTCAACAAATTAAAAATTTTATATTATATTTATCTAAAAAATTTTTTAGTTTTAGTGTTGGATTATAAATAATTTAATCTATTAATAAAATTTCTTCTTGTAAATAAAATAATTTTTTTTTCTTAATTTTTTAAACAAGATAAATTAGTGAGATATATTATATAAATAGATTTAAATCTTTTATAGTCGAAAACGTGTTTTATTAAGGAAGCATGGCAACCGATAAGTTTTGTCACAAAAGCCGGTACACGTTATATGTTCTTACTACTACAAACATATAAAATAAATATATGTACAGATTAATTTACATATACATGAATATGGATGGTTAGATCTATTCTCTACTGTTTCAGTCAAAGTGTAAATTTAGCACGACATAAAAAATAGATTTAAAAAATAAAAATTAAATTTCAAACCTGTTGTCAACCGAGTATTTGAATAAAACTATCGATTGATATAAAATAAAATTATATTATCTTCTGGTGTAGATTGTTGAATTGAGAACAGAATCATACGATGATTAAATGTTGTATGTGAATATGCTTAAACGATGTATATATGCACAGAATAACGTTTAAAAGTGTTCGTACGAAAGTGCAGGAGTAAGTTAACTACGTAAGAGTGTGTATCATCACCAGAGTAGACTAGTCAACCACGGGGGAATATTAGATGAGAGTTAAAGCAAAACCGGCCAATAGAAGACGAGCCAGTACCTCGCGCCACCCAAAATCAACGAATCCCAGAGCACACCGGAACAGCTGTTACACGCGCATTGTGGTAACGTCACGTACACAATCTTCCTTCCTTACTTCCTCAATCTTTCTTCATTATTATTTAACATTTGTTTATTTATTTATTCATTTCTTCAATATGCAATTTAAATCTACGCAATTGTGATTCATTAATTTATTTCCACTAGATGCTAAAAAAAAAAAAAAAACGAACCGAATAAAAAATTCATGACTCAAATCAGCCACGTGGACTACGTACCAAAGATTGACGTTGATTTAAATAAAATAAATGCTAAATTATGCTAAAAAGATGATGAATTTCTAATGACTTTGTTTTTGCCAACTCCATTTTTTTATATGAATTACAAATGACTAATCATTTCTATCAATCAGTCTAACTGGAGTAATTATTGTTAGAAATATTATTGAATATTAGTAATAATTAATAATAATTACGGTGACCTTGATCTTGTAGCTAAAAGTACTTAGTGTGTCATTGAATTTATCAGTTATGTGCTCATATATACATATATATTGTACGGACTTAATACAAGGAAGAGAAATATTATCTCTAGTCCCGAGTTCAACGATTTTTACATAACTTTCAACGATAAAATAACTTAAATTTTTATGATACTTAAATCAAAGATATATGGCTAATCTTTGGCTTTGTTCGAAATATAAATGTGAACTAAAAAAATATTTTTTAGAATTAGAAAAATTTTTAAAAATTATCGATTTTTTTTTTTTTTGATTAGACACAAAATATACTTTTAATATTATACTATAGAATATAAAATATGGCTATTTCCCATCTAAAAAAAAAATGGAGTTTCTATTTTATTAATTTTCCCGGAAGTTTTCGACAAGACCACCATCACGACTTTCTCATATTAGATAAAAACATAAGCTTACAATTTAAACTCTTATAAAACATTATGTATCATATTCTATTCTATTCTATTCCATTATATTCAATCACTTCCTTCACTGCTTCTACATGTTAATATAATTCATAGTTATGAATATTCATACAGCTCGATTCACGTTTTTATAGCATTGACAAAACTCCAGATTTAATTTAAACCTTATTGAACACATTTTTCTTAATTATTCCATTTCTCGTCAGAATGGTAATTATAAAATTGTACTTGCAATCTTTTTTCTTTGTCACGATAAATATTACAGTATTAAATAAGTATACTTATAAGGTATCAAGTGAATATAAATATAGATATATATGAGAATATGAACATATGAACATATAAATTATGAGCAAGTTTACTCAATTGTAAGAGTAATACAATAGACTATATATGTAGACTGTAACGTTCTGCCTGAATGCTGACATTATAAACTCAAACAACTGTTTCTTTATAATAAAATAAATTTGTATTTAACTTTGGACAAAAAAAATAAAACTGTTGTTAATTTTTAAAAAATATCCCTTCACCTCTCATCTAAAAGTGATTAAAAAGATGAAATAAATTTTTCAATCAGAATTCAATTAAAAAGTAATAATTTCATAATCGAATAAAATAAAAAAAAATGTAATCCGACTTACCTAGGATTGAAATGACGCCGTAAAAAGACCGTCTACCGGCTTCTAGGCTTCAAACTTGTATCTGTATGTGAGTATGAGTATGTATATTCAAGTATATATATATATGTATATTATTTAATATATATATACTGGAAATATCCACGTGGCCTCGAGAGCAATATTAGAATTTTAATAACTTTAACGCTGATGATTTTGTAATTATATACAACCCTTGGAAAAAAATATAAATAAAAGTAATATAACGTTGAAGGTTACAAACTGACTCTACTTGGTCTATTGAAATAATATAAAGAACAACCGTGCTTTACTTTTATAAATGTAAACGTGTTGAAGCTCTGATAGGAACTAACAAAACCAGACAATACGCGCCAGATTAAATACAAGTCGGCATCTTAGGGCTCTTTTTAGTATATAAAAGCCCGAAGAAAAAGAGTGACAAAGTTTTTTTTGCTTAGATTTTTTTTACACTAGATGGCATGATAGTTTAAAAGGTTAGAGATCAGATGTCATTTTTATAATCATGCAAAATGATAAAACAATGTCGTCAATTATTTCAATTGTTTACTCATTTAAAATTCAATCGTGACACATTTTTATTGCTTAATTAACGTAACTACGGGCTGTCGAATTCACACTCTCAACAGTTATGACGTCTAGTTACATTTTTAAATGCAACTAGAAAACCCGCGCTTTTAATTATTACCTCGAATATTTATTGTTATAATTTATTACGGAGTAATAAATTATTTTCCCGGTGAGTCAATACAACGTCAATAAATATTTAATTTCCGAATAATTACGATAAATTTTTAATGATTTATTTTTATACTTGAATTGTTTTGTGATAGGTACCTATGTACCGACTGGTGTCGCTCATTATTATGTCAGTTTTTTGGTACATGCAAGATGGCAGTGCGGTGAGATTTCCAGTCACTACAGACTCAATGTGATTCATGTAAAATACTCTTGCAACCTGGCCTTTTTATCGTAAGCCACTATGGGTGCGTATTCGACTAATGTTATTTATTTTTTTATCAATCTCCATCCAAGTATTAATTAAATATTTTATTCGCAAAATTAATCACACATTTCAAGCAATGTATTATTTACTAAATAACCTTCATATTTTTAATAATTTCAACTTAGTATTGTTGCTAAACATTATTTAACGATTGTTGAGGTTATGGACTCATTTTTTCAAGCGTGTGCTTCCGATTTGTAAATGCAGTGTTGTGACCAGTGACTTTTAATTAATTAATTAATTAATTTGATATATTTCAGGTATCTCGCGGGATCATTACCACAAAAGGCGGCCCACTGGGGGCAAACGCAAGCCCATCAGGAAGAAGAGGAAGTTCGAATTAGGTAGACCTGCGGCCAACACCAAACTCGGTGCTCAAAGAATCCACACCGTAAGTTTTTTTTTACAAATTATTTATTTATGACATCCTAACTTTTGTTTTGATGGTTGTAATTAACATAATTAATTTTCTAGGTTCGTACCCGTGGAGGTAACAAAAAATACCGCGCGCTCCGTCTTGATACCGGTAACTTCGCCTGGGCAAGTGAGGGTAGCACTCGCAAAACCCGTATCATCGATGTAGTCTACAATGCCTCTAACAACGAGCTTGTTAGAACCAAAACATTGGTGAAAAATGCTATTGTCACCATTGATGCTACTCCATTCAGACAGTGGTACGAAAGCCACTACATCGTACCTTTGGGTCGCAAACGCGGTGCTAAACTCGTAAGTTTTTTTTTTTTTTTTTTTTTATCTAACTTTTTCGAGTGATTAATTATTTGATTTAAATTAATTAATTAATTATTTATTATGAATTAATGTAGGGTGAAGCCGAAGAAGAGATCTTTAACAAGAAAAGATCAAAGAAAACTGAAAACAAATACAAGGCGAGACAGCGGATAAGTAAAGTTGAGCAAGCTTTAGAAGAACAGTTCGCCACTGGACGTGTGTTAGCCTGCATCGCTAGTCGACCAGGTCAATGTGGTCGCGCTGATGGATATATTTTGGAAGGCAAAGAACTCGAGTTCTACATGCGTAAAATAAAAAGCAAAAAGGCCAAGTAATGTAACGGCTAATAAATAACTTTACATTAAAATAATAAAAACTTGTTTCTTTTTTTTTATTTTGTCTTTATTTTTTAATATAAATAGTTCATTTACTTTTAAAGATTATCAGTTGGGTTGGATAATGAAACAAGTAATAATTGAAGCAGTACAAAAATGTATAATTGGCATATATTTAAAATCCATTAATTTTTATTTTATTTAAAATTTATTTATCTAAGCTCCACGTACATTTGACGAGTTCAATTGAGCACTTGGTATTAATGTCGGCATTCCAGGTTCTTGTTGATTAGGTTGTGATGGTTTTTGGGTACATTTACTCATATGAGTTTTCCAATGTTGTTGTTGACACGATGGACTGCAGTATGATGTATTCCAACAGCAATAATACAAGGCTTCTTGCCAGCACGAAGCACACCATTGTTTTGTTTTCGTCTCTTCGATGGACCGAATTTTTTCATCCTCTGTCTCCTTACGAATTTCTTCAACCGCTCTCAATCTTTCGACTTCCAAACTTGCTCGCATTTCTCTCAAAGTTCGATCTGAAAATTAAATTAATTGATTATAATACAATTATTATTATTACCCATAAATATTTATATTTATGTATTTACCTGTATTGTGCTTAATTTCAGCAAGATGCTGCTGATGTTCCCATTTCATACGTTCTATTTCCAACTCGAATATAAATTTGCCGGCTTCTTCTTGATTATTCGTCTTCCTCGCCGTCTCTTTCAGCGCTTCTTCCATCAGTCTAGCCATTTGCCGTACCAATTCACTCGCACTTCGGTTTAATTGAGTGCTCACTGGACCAGCTTCAGGTGGAGGCAAAGTATAATCCATTCCATTGCTGTTGAGGACTGGAATGTCGATTTTTTTATCATCAGTTTCACTACTATTATTTGCAAGAAGTGGTCTTAAAAATGAACGAGTCGGAATTTGAGGTGGTTTATTAGGGAATGATTTTTTTGCTTTACTCTGTCGCTTTCCAGGAACTAAATTTAATGAATTGTCAAGTAAATTATTGGTTGTCTCCATAGATACATCTGGACGTATTGAATCAACAGAAGAAGATGAATACTTAGAGGGGCTTGTTTCTGATCGATTAAGAGCTGAACTTTCATCACTTAAATTTCTTTTTTTATCTTGTACTTCTTCCACATTTGATCTTGTTGTTGGACCAGTTGTTTTATCTTGCTCCGAGTTTTGTAGCTTTGCAGCTCTGTGCTTATAAGGCCGTACGATAGCAGCTCGTCCTTCTCTTCCATGAGTATTTATTGATGAGTTTGTTTTCCGTAAATTATTAGGTTTATCATAATATTCTTTAGTTCCTAATCTTGTTGCTCTTACTTTGTAAAAATGTTTTTCAGGAGGCATAAATTTTTTAGACAACCATTTGCGTGATTTAACTCTGCTTTCGGGTACAGTGTTATTTTTATTTACTGCTGGTGCCGCTGGTTCTACTACTTCTGTAGTTGGGGGAGTATCTTCTTGAGCTGGTAAATTTTCAGACTCTTGTGTCTTTTCAATACCATCATTTCCTTTATTTTCAGAAAATTTTTTGCGACCTCCTCTTGTTTTAGCAACTTTTTTACCGTCAACCTGATTCGGATCATCACTTAATTTACGTTTTCTACCACCTTTTTTTTTCGTCATTGGAACAATATCTTTAACAGGAGTTGAAGAACTCACTTCTTTTTCAGACAATCTTTCACTCACCGACACCGAACTTTTTCTCGGTGAGCTATCTTCACCCGACGACAATGATGATTGCTGCTGTATCGGAAGGGTTTGATTAATCAATGTCAAATCATAAAAGCACGTCGGATCATACTGTGGAAGTAAAAGTTTTATCTGATTTTCATCGTGTGGATTGTAAAGAGTTCTGTTAGGAGCATAAGTAAATGGTCCAAATGCCATTTCTAATTTTTTAGTATGACGGCTTATTTCCTTAAGACAGTCAATCATTTCATATCGTTTCTTCTTAGGCAAAGATGTTGGCGGTTCTTTAGAGAAAAGATAAATATCTTTAGGGGCTATCCACGCGCGATCATGTGCTCCAAAAAATCTGACATCAACATGACCCAATGCATTGATGCGTGGCAAAGCTTTTGCCGGCCAAAATGGAAATCCTTTTAGCTTAGCCCAAATAAGCGGATGAGGTTTGCTGCAGGCTTCTACAAACCAGGACGGATTTGCTCGTGGTATATTACGACCACGTGAGTAACAATCAGGACATGCTTCATATTCAGATACTTCTTGCCGTGCTATTTTTATAATTAATTTTGCTGCATTCGTTAATTTTGAAGAATCTGTATACTCTCCACCACCTACAAATAAGTAATTAAATTTTTAAAAAATATACCCACAATAATATCAATAAATTACAATTAATTATCAACAGCTTAGTTGATTGTATATATGATGATTTAATTCTGAATTAAATTATTCTTACTAATTATAAGTATATCAGATATTATTAATTATTGAACTATTCTTACATGTATTAAATACGATACAGTTATGCTGTATCCATTTAGCATCCGCCATAAATGCATCAGTGCTACCGTAAAGCTTAGCATCAACATTCGTTTCTAATAAACTCAAATCCATAGGCTTCACCACGTAGTCCATGTAATTGGGAACTTCTTTCAAGTCAACAGCATTCCAGAATGGTTCCGACTGTTAAAATTTTTTTTTTTTAATTAATTAAATTTTTTGTAATTTGAATAAGTGTAAGAATTAATTAATTAGCCAACTTACACCGAGCAAGTGTTTCATACAACCGATGACGTATTTTAGCACCAAGCAAAGCTGATCTACAGTAATATGAGCCATGGTTGGCGAACGAGTTGATGCATTTTCAGCTTGCAATATACTCGCACATTCACCACAAATCCAATTGTCTGTAGTTGGAGGTGTCCCACCGATACACTTGCGATGCCAAGCACGTGGACAAGCCCTGCAGTTAGCTTCCACACCATCTCTGTGGCATCTCCAACAGTAAATGTCTCGATTGTTTGTTATTTTAGGATGAATTTTAGGTTTTCTCAATTCACCATCTACCTTTTTTGGTACTTCATCACTATAGAAAAAAAAATTTTAATTAATAAATTAAACAAATGAAAAATGTAATTATTTAAAAATATACTCACGTTGATAATTTGCCTTTGTCTTCTTCTGTTACCACCATAGATTCACCTTTACCATCATCATTACTCATAGAAACATCAGAAAGAGCACGAGAATCACTTGAAGTACTTTTATCTTTTTCTTCAGGTTCATCATCAATGACAATATTTTCATTGGCTCCTGTTTTTTTTTCTACTTCTGTTTTCTTATCATCTATTTCTGTGTTTTCAGCAACTTGTTTCTTTTTCTCTACCTCGGTTTTTTTTTTAACTATTTTTTCTTCCTCATCCTTTTCATCTTCAATATCTTTATTTTGGTCTACTTCCAAATTCTCATCTTTCTTTGTATTTTCCTCAGCCTCTGCTTCATCGTGTTCTTTACTGTCATCTATTGGTTCATCAGCACGCTCATCATCAACCAAATCACAACCGTCTTTATTCACCACATCAGTACTTCTTTCATTTAACTTATCCAAAGACTCTGTGTTATTTATTTTAGCACAACACTGTGCATCAGAGTCACTATTTTTATTAACATCATTCATTTTTTTATCATCAACTTTTTTAACATCATTTTTATTAACTTCATGATTTACAGAATCAATTACCTCTGTATTATTTAAATCATTAATTTTATCATTTTCTGCTGCTTTAACAACAGATTCTATTTTTTCGCTTTCAGTCGACTCCATTTTTGTCAATATATTTATATAACTAATTAAATATTCCAATAAAATTAGCGGTGTATATTCATTACCAACATTACCTTACAGTTAAAACAATTTAAAATTCATATCCAATTATATTGTAAATTTTTGATAACCCTGAAAAATAAAATGCCGACAATTAATTATTTATTTTACAGATAATTATATTATTATGCTGAAATTATTCTTACCTCAACTTGATAATACTTATAAGAAAAAGTAATAAAATATATTGTAATATTTATTAAGCACTTGTTTAATAATTTATAATTTATAATTAACGGTAAATAAGAAAGAAAGAAAGAAGATAAAAATAAAAATTTACACTAATCAGTTCAAAAACTTTATTTATATAAATCAAATAGTATTATTATTTATTTGAATATTCAAAATTTTTTTTAATAATAAAAACAATTATTAATGCGGTTATAATCATTAAAAAAACGCATAAAATAGTTTATATAAATATCAGCAGATTGAAATTAACGAATTTCACTAATTTTTCTAGCTTTATATTTTTTTATTTTTTATTATTATTATTTTTGGAATATAATGCAAGCAACAAGGTTTCAATGGTTGTAATTTTTATAATTGGCAACAATTAACAATTTTTCTTTGTTTTATTGGCCAACTTGTTTCTTTTCTCATTTACAAAAGCACACGAAGCACACCGACTGTCAGCGAGTTGAAGTTAGACTAAAGCTAAAACTGACAACTTCAGGTGCTCTCATTGCTTCGCATCGCCCTCTAGTGGCCAAATCTCTTAATCAAGATCTTTTACGCAATAGTCCATTGAAAAAAAATTTTCGAGCAGCCCGACCAGGCCTGCATTAACAAATTCATTGTTAATAATTAATAAAAACAAAGTTATAACAATGTTGCGATTTGTTGCCGGACGTATTGGCTCAGCTGTCCGTGGTGTTGTTGCTGTACCCAGGACTTCCGCAGCTATTGGCGTTACTTCAACTAGAAATTCTTCTCATGGTCCTGAGGAAACTGACGAAGAATTTGATACTAGAATGGAGAATTACTTCAACCGCAAGGACATTGATAGCTGGGAAATTCGTACTGCAATGAATGATTTAGCTGGTAAGTCATCAACACTATTTTTATCAGTAAAATAATTTACTAATTCAGTAATCATTATGCTTTAATCATTGCAAGAGGTTATGATACTCTCATCAGTTACATAAAAATTTTAAATACTTTCTATACTTTGGTAAAAATTATAAATAAAATACATATATGTTACAGGTATGGATCTTGTCCCTGAACCCAGAATTGTAAGTGCAGCATTGAAAGCTTGTCGTCGTTTGAACGATTACGCATTGGCTGTCAGATTTCTTGAAGTTGTCAGATACAAAGGTGGTGACCAAGCTCATGTTATTTGGCCATACATCGTTCAGGAAATCAGACCAACTCTCGATGAACTGGGAATCCTCACCCCCGAAGAAATGGGATACGATAAACCAGAATTAGCTCTTATTTCTCCATACGAAGTGTAAATTAATAATAAATAAAAATAATTGCTTAAATAATAACAACCAAAAGATAAAATTAGTCTTATTTAAGTATCAGTTGTCAAACTGGAACACATATTGGAGTTAGTTAATGCTATAATAAATTCATTGTAATATTTTCTTGTTAAAATATCATTGTGAGTAAATATAATAACGATTTAATAAATAAACAAATAAATAATCAATAAATTACTAGTATTAAAGGTATTTAAGACAGTAATTACAGTTAAATTTCCTTTTACATTTAAGTTGTACACTGATTATTGATAAAAAGTAACAAAATTAAATTAAATATCCAGAATTTTTGATTTTTATTTTTCTTTCTTCATTTTTTTTTTTTACTTGTTGCTATTTCATTTCTACTGACTTATTATTTAATTAATATATTATTTGATAGTTAATGTATTTTTTAATTATTTACGTACTTTAATGGTATTTCTTTTGCATATTTGTTTTTTTTTTTACATTTAAAATAACAAAAGCAGAGTGGGCGACACACAAAGTATTTACAATTTTCATTACATGAGTACACGATTACTTCGTTATAGTTGTAAACATACATATTACTTAACTTATTATTATTGTAATTATATCATATAATAATTATTAATATGTATAAATATTTCAAGATATTACACGATATATTGTTACTAAATTTAAATTTACAGGCTTACGCTGAATAATCCATATTATTAATCATAATTAAATTTATCAATTCTTAACAGAAAATGATTCATGTGAGTCGAAAAATTAGTCTCATACTTTATTAAATTACTTTTATTTTTAGTCTTAGACGTAAACGTGATCAAAAGTGATTATAAAGTAAAATTGCACAGAATTAAACAACAAAAAACATTTACATTTTTCTTTCATTTATTTTCTATTTGTTTCTTAGTCACAATTCTTAAAAATTAATTGGAAAAATTCTCATAAAAAAAACTCTAAAGATACAATTTGTACCGAATACGGATTTTCATAAATAATAATAAATAAAATGAAATAAAAAAAAAAAAAGTATCAGAATAAAACTCTTATCCTATTTGTACCCGTCAGAAATGCTTAGTCTTCCTATCGGTGCTATAAAACAGATTATGAAATTCTTATTATTAAGGTAATTATTATAATAGTGTATTACATTTTTAATTATTTTAATTTTTTTGTCTCTACGAATAAACTAAAATTTTTTTAATATTTACTTAAATAGTTATCATTACAACTATAAAAATTTTTTTTTCTCTATTCTTCAGTACTCGAAGAAATGAATAAAAAAAATTAAAAAGAAACCAATAAATTATCTCGTATCCAGAGTAATAGAATATATGCACTAGATATAGAATTTATAATATTGCCCCCATATTCCCAACATATACTCTGGATTAATTATTAAACTAGTAAAAATATTTTTCTTCAATATTGAAGTCTACTGATTTAAATAGTGATTCACCGACTGTTAACAAGTTATTCTTCTGTCATCACTAATTAATAATTCATTTAATATTTTAAAATATGTTAATCTATTTATCGAAGACTGTTCAACTTAAATTGTTGCAGACTCACTGTATCAATTAATTATTATTTAAATATACTTAATTCACACGTTGCCATTTATATTTTATACGTTCCCTCGGTTATTTTTATTATTTAATCAATTAATTAATTAATTAATTAATTAATTTATTTATTTATTTATTAATTATATAACTTCTGACTAGATTAAATAATTAGACCTATGTTAATTTTACTAGTTTATTTTAACAAGGGGACGTTAAATATACGTGGCTTAACTATTATCTTAAAAAATTACAACTCAAAAAACAGAACGGTAAAATAAAATAAAATAAACAAAAATTAATAATAATGTTGATTTTAAAATTTTTTCAAACAACATTTCATAATAAAGTACAATAATTTTAATAATATTAAAATAATAATAATAGTCTTAATATATAATTGAATGAATCATTCAAAAACCCAACACTTCTCTTAATCTTCTTCATCATCATCATCATCATCATCGTTATCATTGATCATCATTGAAACACATTATTCAATACATTTATTTTTTGTCTAATTATTATAATATAATCAAAAAATCTAATCACACGTTAACATGCACACTCGTCAAATAGTTCAATTTTTTTTCTTTTATTGAATTAATCATTATCTATTTTAGTTTTTAAATTCTCAACTTTAATTTAAAAGAAGGAATAGTTATTGTGTTATAAACACAAAATCAGTACTGAGTATCAATCGTACTTCTATAGTCATTTGTCGTATTTCCAGTGAAGTAATTATATTATTAATAATCGTTATTAACGATAGTAATAATAATAATAATCATTCCGACAAGACTATAGAGTAAACCTCGCTTCATTCAGGACTTGATACTGTTTGGTGTTGCTGGCTATCTTCATCTTTAATAACTTCACCTTGCATTGCTTTAGTTAATGCATTAGCATCTTTAAGTGATATCACTTGTAATACCTGATGTTCACCATTAGCATTAATCATTGTCATCGGATGACCCTGAATAGTAACAGCTTCAATTGTTTCTCCGTTTCCTGGTTCAACTTTTGGAACTTGTACCATTGGTGTCACCATTTGAACTGTACCGTCGCTTTGGATATTAGCCACCATCGTTTGGTACATACTTGCTGATACTGGTACGGTAATCACGCCGGACACTGATACAGGATAGCCTGAAACACCGAAATTACCGTCCGTTGTCTTACCCGCGATTTAAGGATTTATTTTTTTTTTTATATATATATTATTTTTTAATTTATTTTTATTATTTTACCCAGCTTTTTTATAATAAGCTTGACTTGGACCCGATATAAGTAATAATATACTAGGTATAATAATGGTAATAATTAATAATAATAATAATAATAATAATATATCATGCGTGAAATAACGTTGATAACTAAACACATAAATTATAAACAATTCAAGTCTATTGTTTGATAAAAACAAATACACAAAAGAAATTATTATTATTTTACTTATTTTTTATCAAATAACAATAAGCAATTATTCAATACGGTACTAATTAAATAAAACACTTAAAAATTAAAAATTACACATTATTGATTAATAATAAATCTAATAAATGTTGATTATAATAAATTTAATGCCTGAATAAACTTAATAGAAAAAAAAAAAATAATAATAATTAAATTTGTTTTGAAAAAAAATATTAATAATATTTAATGTGATTATAAATTCCTGATGAAAGTGATCCGAGTAACTTTGGTTGATTTACGATGGCAAATGAAAATTAAACAAACAAAAAAAGGTAGCCTGTATTTTTTTTCGTCTAGCCTGTATCTAGAACACTCTTTGGTACTGCATGCAAAACTGATTATCTGATCTACTAAATAAAAAATCCGTAAGTATACAAAGAAATTATCGATGATAATTTCATTTACAGCTATCAAATTAGCTCTTAATCGTACGATATCATATATTTTTTGTGATTAATAATTATTATATTAACGATTTAATTTGTCTGGTTATCTAATGAGATATAATTTATCTGGTTTCTTTTATTTAACTTTACTGTTTTAACCCTCTTATGCTTTTACTTCATCAGTGTTAAATTAAAAAAAATCCATACACCGATCCACAACCTGTTATTCTACTGTGATTAACTATTTTAATATGTATAAAAAATAATAATTGTTTGATAAGGCTAACTAAACATTTTGATTGTACTGTTTGGTTATTAACATTGTACATTGTACACTTTATTATTTTTTTTATTATCATTTAAGTAATATTTATGTACACTTCATTTATACACATCGATAAATGCTATTTTTCGTAAAATTATGACATTCTTTAAAATATCTTTTTCCTTCTGTTATATCACTATCGCGTAATTAAAAATCCTGAATACCTAATTTTGTCTTCAAGAACTGATAATAAAAAAAGAAAAAACACATGAATAAAAAGATTTAATCTGTGACACGTGATATTACTTTTTAATTTAATATGGCTTGTAAGTTTCAATGAGACAATGAACTTTCGGGCACGTAATTTGAAATTACTCTCTACTTGTTACCAATACGTGATGGTATATACAGTACAAAAAAAAAAACGACTACTTAACAAGAAAAAAACAAAAGAATAGAATAGTTCTACTTCGTTGAATGAAGTAATAAAATGAACAAAAAAAAAAAAAAAAAAAAAAAAAATATTTAAATTGAAAAATATCTCATTCTAAAATAGATCGCTGCAGGCAGCATGCAAAATAATAAGGGGTCCTGAACCAATTAAGTGAATCACTGCTCGAGTAGTTCCTGGCCGGCGACGGTGCAGAGCGTATAGAAAACAGTTTTACCATGTCCATCTTCTCCTGTGAGAATTATTTGACCGTCTTGTCCCAATGTTGCTTCAGTCACACTGTTTATATCGACGGAAACACTGCCTTCAGCACCTCCTACTTCAGTTAGTGTTTGAACATCGCCCTGACTTGTGTGAATCTGCATTAGGGAAATGATTAATTTAATACTTCTTAAGTTGTCAATTAGCTGACAGGAAACTTTATTCATTAAATTTAATAATATAACGTACAGTAGCAACACCCTGAACTTGTGCAATTGTACCATCAGGTAATTGTATGGTTGGATTACTTGGATCTACTTGAACTATTGATATTGTTCCATCTTGATTTGTTATCGTTTGTAAAACAGTTGTTGGATACTGTGTGGTCATCTGCTGAAAAGTTTATCAAATAAATCAATGTTCTCTTGTATAATTATAATAACAATATAAAACTTTTTGATAAAAAATAATAAAATTATAAAAAACGAAATTCAACATAGGGAAACTAAACACCTAATTGAATGAAAATAAAAATAAAAGAAAATAATCAAAAAAAGAAAAATAAATGCTCAAATGAAATGACAAAAAAAAAAAAAAAAAAAAAAAAAAAAAAAAAGGAAAAAGAGCAATTATATTCATTAAAAAGTCGCTCACTAGCACCTGAGTGGCAGTGGCAAGAGATGTAGGTGACGCGGAAAGAATCTGTTGTGGTGAAGAGTTTCCCTTAGATGAACCCGTGCTGCTAAGTCGAACAACTCCCACCGTTTGTTGCTGCTGCTGTTGTTCATTTTGTCCTTGGCTTGATGATGCATGCGACGAATGAGGTGTCGTTTGTTGAACCAAAATATTTGATTTATCATCATCATCATTGAACGCTGGTAACAGATCCTCTCTTCCGTGAAATTTGTAACAATTTATGACTATTTGTCTCAGCGCATGCGTCCAAGAAATCTAAAATATTTGCACACATGTAGAAAAATTAATAGTTGTGTTTACTGCCAGTTTGTTTCGCATTTATGCTAAATTGAACGATGAATAATAAATCTTACCTTTTGTTTTTCGTCTTCAGACCTTGCGTCCATACGCACATTTGCCCATGGCAACTCTTTGGGCCACCACGGAGGTCGTGTGCTTTCTCTGCCCCAACCTGGCTTACCCCTACCTGTAGAATACTTTAACATCAACGGTATAAATGCCCTGAGCTGTGCTTGTGTCATTTTTTCAACTGGTGTCGGTATTCCATCGATTATTAATGGCGGTAATTCGTATAATGATGGATCATCTTGAACAGGTGGTGGTGCTTGTTGTGCTAATGCACTCTCCAATTCTTCCATTATCATTGATCTTAAATTTTTAACTACATCTTCAAGAGGCTTTGCTCCAAATACTTTGTAACTACTATTTGGTTTTCCAGGTGTGGCTACTAATACTATTGCTTGCTGACCAACTCGTGTCGCAAATTCATCTATGGTTTGCTGGATAATTAATTTTTGATATTATTATTCAAATAAATACGTATCAATCAAGTATAAATTTTAAAATATCTGATAATTTACTCTGAGTTTTCTTAAAAGTCGATTTTGTTGGCGTTTTCTTATGCTGGGATTTGTTTCAAAACTGTGTGGTCGTTTTCGTTTTTTAGCAGATACGATCGCTGCTGCAGCGGCAACACCAATAGGTCCTAAATTTATTAAGAAAAAAAAAATTTAATTAATAAACTTTGAATAATATGCAATAGTGATACTATGAAAATAATAAAATTATCACGCTAATATGATGATGAAGAAAAACACATTCAAAAAATTGGAAAATAAAAAAAGCATAAGCAAGAAGTGATATAGAACGTGCACGCAGTTGAATAATAATGATAATGATAATTAGATAAAAAGTATCCAATTGTAAAATGATTCCAAAATGAATATCAAAATCAATAATATTTTTCTAATGATGTAAAAAAACATCAACAGATAATTTGAATGCAGTTAAAAAAAATTGCAACACAACTAAGTGAAAAAAAATAAATTTATAATAAGTAAACTAGCAAACTATTACCAATAATAATTACAAAAAAAAAAAAAAATAATAAAAAACATATGCAATAAACTTAACAAAAAAATGCACACAAATTAAAAATAATTTAGTAAATACAAAAAATTTATGTAAACAATAAAAATTGTTTACATATTGATATATAAAAATTCTTACTGATCTCTTGTAAATTTGCTTTTTTTGTCATCTAACATCGATTGAATCAATTAAAATTTAATATTCGATTAAATATCTTGACAAGTTAATTAAAGTATTTCTTTAGTACTTTAGAATCAAAGTAAATATGATATTAGAGAGTCATATGTGAAAAAAAGCAAAAAAATGGAAATCACCATTAGCGTTTTTCGAACCTGCAGCGGCAAGCTGGGCCGTAACATCGTCACCCAGAGCGTGTGATAAAAGATCACCCTCCTCATAGGTCTCAGATCCACTGCTGGGCTCATCGTCATCGTCGTCGGTTAGCCGATCCATTCTTTCCATGGTAACTGATTCGGTGCTCGGCAAGGAAACCATCCTCCTTCTCTTTGTCACCTCCAGCGTAGCGTCTTGTTTATTAAAATCTTTATTTTAAAATCAACAATCGTCTTCTTCTCCTTTCACTTGGCGTATTGCAATGTCCCACCAAAACTCTATATCAGCCTTGGGTTACTGACAGCATTCATCACCAGGCCCTGCTGAGAAAATAACGAAACAATAAAAATTAATTAACTGATAAAAATAAAAAATAAATAAAGATTTTAGTTCCCTTTTTATTTCTATCTATCCGTAATCGATTACAACACTGGGCTAATAGTGTTCAACCTTGATACCTATGGTTTCTCTGAGTCATTCTTAGAACCCCTAACATATGCTGTACGTAAGCAGACCCCTCCTTTGTACAATATACTTTTCATTATATTTTACAATATTGACCTACGGGGTGCGTACATTTTTTTTTTTTTTTTTTTATTTATTTATAAATACTCCGTACGTTGATTATTAATTAATAAGTACACGAAGTATACAAACATGGACCTATACTTTAGTCAACTTATTAATAAATTAGGACACCAAGTGAGTCAGATATTATTAATAAATAAATCTATCTGGTACAAAGTGTAAAAAAAAAAAAGTAAAATTTTGTGAGGGGAAAAAATAACACGCGATGTCATGTCGCAGGGGGGCTGAGAGCAATAAGGGTCGATGAACTAGCTAGGGAAAAGCAGCAACCGAAGTAGTACTCGTTGCTCGAGTGATGTCTAAGACTCAGCTCAGCAACAAGGGGCGAGTTATTATAATATAATAACAGGGGTGCGTTGGGGTGATAGGGTAACTTGATGTTCAGGAAAATACCATCTTCCAGACGATGACGTCGCTGATGACAATGACGACGATGATGATGATAATAAAAACAATAAAAGACAAAGCAGACCCAGAGACAATGATAGCGGTCTGGATGTCGTAATCATAGTGCTATTATAGAGTTTTTTGCACTCTGGGCGGAAAGTGGCAACTTTGGTCCCACTGCGCTAAACAAAGTTGCCGCTTTCCGTTTTCCTCGGACAAAAAAATATTATACAGCTCTTGGGAAGTAAAAAAAGAAAACCTCAGATCGTATGTTTGTTGACCTCGGCTTCGCCTCGGCCAACAATTACATGTGATCTGAGACTTTTCTTATTTTCCTTCCCAAGGGGTGTAATATACTATTGGAAGATGGTATCATGGTGATGTGCCCGATGACGACAGGCTGCTGTCTGGTGTCTCGTGTTTGGTGTCCTGGCAAAACTAAAATAAAAGAGCTCAAGTATAGTCACTGCACAGAGTACTTGGAGTATGATGATCGCGCGCACGATTATTAAGCGAACGTGAAACGGCGCGTTTATTCGAAGAATGGGGGGCAACGAAAATGCGCAGGGCACACGTTTGGTTTAAAAGTAAACGTAAACGGAGTTGAAAGAATCATGCGGGGGCCGCTAAGCTCATGACCAAGGAAGCCGCGAACCCATGGAGCAGGCCCAGTTGAAATCGGGAGTTGCGTACGCACCTTGTGTGGTCCGTGAGTGGTCACCACCGATCAGAAGCACAGAAGCTCAGGGGTATTGCGTCTGCGGAGAGGCCGTCGTCAGCAGCAGCTCGCGGTAACGCGCAAACTTTACACCACGCCCTAACCACGTTGTTCTTGTTGTTGTCCGCGTTCTCGGAGTACACACATTTCACTGGGTCTGACTCGTTCAATATGTGTCTCAGTAATAAACTGTTACAACAATAATTAACAACAACAATTATTAATTATAAGAGTAACCTAGAGCCGCGGAGAAATAAACGCGGCACCCTGTAACAACGTCTCGACAACACAACGCGCACAACAGACACCATGGCCAGTTTTGCCAACGTCAGCGGCTTCATGTATCGATCGATGAAGCGGGCCCTTCATCCATTCCATCTATTTACTATATACACCGCGGAGCTAGCTCGTTCCTCCTCGTTTCTTTCTTCCTCAGTTACGAGTTACTCTCCGCTGCCTCGCTCTAGCTCACACTCTAGTGCATTGCACAGCTCATACCACACAACCAACAACAAACGCGGGGTTATACACGGTATTCGGCCATTTTGAGTGAGTCTGCGCATTAAAACCACCCACCATACTACTACACCAATAAATCCAGTGTATACTCTATCTACAATTGTTAAACAATTATTTCGCGACATTATTTTTATATTTATTTGATTTTTAGGGTTAATAATTATTAAAACTTACCAGACAACTCTTGATTTCTCTCGAATAGTCAACAGCCAGTACTGAACACACTAACACTATATACATGTATACGGGCCTGGAATAATTTCATTGGTTGGTATTCTCTGGGGTATGCGTCATGGCGTCCTCATTATTCGATTTTCCATTGGCTAAAGAACCACGTGACGCATTATGTCAGCCATACAACTTATTCCGTTGTAAATAAAATACTACTGACCAAGACTAACCTAACGTTTTATTTTTCTCTAGTATCAGACCAGTACCAAATAAAATAACCAAATAATATAATTATTATTCTGTTTAATTGCACGATTCTATCATAATATTTCGTCAGTTCAATAACATTCTTCCAGCGCTCAAGTTTATGTCAAGGATTCCTCTTTTATGATTTTTTCTAAATTGTTCGCCTTTTGATACGTTTTTCTCGGAACAAATATTGTAAGCATTTTTATTTTATTATTTAACTGTCAAAATTAGTACATACACGTCAATGTTTTTTTTAAATTAATATTTATTTTGAAAAAAAATTATTTTTTTAATGCAATTGGTATCATTAATTGTAAATGCATAAAAAATATATTTTTTTTTTATTATGTTACTAATATTTATTTATTTTACATCTATTAATTTAACAATATATATATATATATATATATATATATATATATATATATATATATGAATTAATAATAATTTTTATTTTTAATATCTTAATTAAAGAAATGGTGTAAAGCAGCTTTACATATCACATCTGGATCAGGATAACATCACAAAAAATTACAATTAAAAACTACAATAATAATAAAAATAATTAATAATAATAATATTTGTTATTATTATGTTTGTTCGTATAGAAATTCAATATCGACGAAAATTTTTTTAAGTTACTCACACTCCTATTTATCCATCTGATGGTACAAAAATAAAATACTGGAGACTTGAGAGAGTTAATTAATTATTACAACTATACACTTGGAACAAAACGATATTTAAAAAAATGCTAAGCCCATGGTTTGTTTTTATTACACAATTTGCCAAACCATCCGGCATCACAGAGGCACGTGTTGTCAGGTTGACAGGTTCCATTTCTGCATGCTCTTGTACACGCTGATCTTTGGGGAGATCTTCGTCCTATTTCGCAATGATCTCCTTTGAAACCATTTGGACATCTACAGATGTTGTTTCCCTTACATTTACCGCCATTTAAACATGGTATTACACATTTTGCTGCAACAAGTTTTAAAATAAATATTTATTATTTATTTTTTTATTTTTTTAATTTTTTAATTTTTATTATGGAGTTAAATAAATTTTATAAAAAATAATATTAAAAATTTATTTAAATAACTCATAATAATTTGTATCGTAAAGTTTTATTTGAACTTGATGTTGAATAATGTAGGAGAGGAAAAAGTAGGGAAAAATCGATTGGGGGAAGAACGAGGGAAATAATGTAAAAGGATTGTATTGACACATGAACCTTTTAGGGTAGATGCCCGATAAGGATATAAAAGGACTGTGTATTTAGGAAGCCTCAGGCGTATGAATTGGTAGGGTTTGATGATGATGGACAAGCCACTGGAACGTCAGATAAATCAATAATAAAAAAGTCAATAAATAGTAATCGGATAAAGTGGTAATGCTTTTGTGATTACTTTAAAAGTTGCTTTTACTGATCGCGATTAAAGTCAAGTCATAATAATCTTTATAAATAAGCATTTAACTGTTCAGAATATTGATTTTTTACACAAGATATAGTTAGATAAAAATACTTACAAAATTCACAGTGTAAACCAAAATATCCTTTAGGACACTCGCATGTGTCTTTTTGAATACATTTACCGCCATTCAAACATTTTTCTGTACAAATTCCTATAATTAAAAATAAAAAATTTATTATTATACATGAATAAATAACTTTTATTATTTTATTACAGGAGAAAATGTTACATTTGGGACGTGGTGGAGTACGTTTTGCCAGTTCAACAGCTGTAGCAACAGCAGATACTAAAGCAGCTAAGCTTTTGGATTCAATAATAAGAGTAAATCATGCTGGAGAATTGGGTGCTGATAGAATTTACGCCGGACAAATGGCTGTTTTAGGTATTTTGACTTAATTTTTAATTACAAAAATTTTATTATATTAAAAAATATTGGTCCATGATCAGGAAAATCATCAGTGGGTCCAACAATTGAACACATGTGGGACCAAGAGAAAAGACACAGAGAAAAATTCGAAGAGCTAATTCGAAAGTACAGAGCAAGACCCACAGCCTTGCTTCCAATATGGAATGTTGCGGGATTTATTTTGGGTGCTGGTACTGCGCTTATGGGTGAGAAAGCTGCTATGGCTTGCACAGTAGCTGTTGAAACGGTTATTGTTGAACATTACAATGATCAATTACGAGCATTGATGGAAGACAAAAATCAAGAGGATGTTGATCAAGAATTATTGGAGACGATTAAAAAGTTTCGCGACGAAGAACAGGAGCATCATGATACGGGAATAGATCTTGGTGCTGAACAAGCTCCGCTTTATGATGCGCTGACAAAAATTATCAAAGCAGGATGTAAAACTGCTATTGCAATATCTAAGGTCGTATGAATTTTTTTTTTTTTTTTTGCATCTGTTTATATTTTTATTTAATTGATACTAACTAAAGACTGGTGTTGATGAAATATTATATTGTATATAGTATTCAAATTACTTATAAAGTATGAAAATAAATTAAAATATATAAGATAAAGTAAATTATGTTTATATTATTGAAATAATTAAGTCTAAATATATTTACCGCCTTCACAATAAGGTCCTTGAAATCCAGGTGGGCATGAACAGACTCCTGGTGCTGTACAATTGCCACCGTTCATACAAACTGGATAACAGAGAGCTTTTTTGCAATGCGGTGGACCCATGTAACCATCAGGACATGGTCCTGGATTAGGTTCTGAAATAAGATAATTTATTATTAGCTAACTACGTCTATTTGTTGTAGCAAGTAGAAGAACAAACCATAACTAGTGTGGGAATATTTAGTTTTCTTTATATTTTTTAGCATTCGAGTAAAACATGCAAAAATTTAATAGTATCATTATTATTATTTATGATGATAATAATAATAATAATAATACTAATTCAAAAAAAATATTTGATTAATAAATTTTGATCAAAAAGCATGCAACAAATTGGTGGTGATATGATTACTGGTGATACAGAACTGTATGTGTGAGTGGAGAAGTGGTGATCTTGGGCGCGACTGACGCACTCACCGCGCACGGCGCATTCTTTTCTCAAGTTGAGACGTAGGGGAGTCCCATTTAGAGGTTTACCCTTGCCCTTCTCAATCACCAGTCCAATGCTAAATTGTACTATTCCAGAACTATTGCCAGAGCAGGTTAATAAAATGCTGAATTCTGTAATAAATAATCACCATTAATTTATCTTGACTTGCTGGCAAAAAACTAAAAAAAAAACCAACAACATTGATTGATAAAATTACCTTTAGGTCTTTTAGGTACACGACCTTTCGTTTTTATAGTTATTGATGGTGTTTTTAATATTGACTCGTCAAGCGATTTCAACCGGTTAAAGTTGTAATAATATCTTTTAACTCCAGATTTCCACGTAAAATTAACATACGACACTTCACTAGGTATTATTGGTAGTTTATTCTCCAATTCTGGATCTAGTAAATATGACAGTACTTTGCCTTCAGTTATCGCATAGATTTCCATCTCTAATCCTGGAAAATTTTTTAAATTGATAAGTATATTCAGTTTAAGATATCAATAAATTTAATTGTAAAGTATTATTTTTATTTCATTTTTTGTTTTAGGTAATAAAATTATGAACTCACCACTAAACATTTTAATTTGCTGTCGATCAATCCAAAGTGATATGTCACCTTCAGGCTTATGAGGATTACCTTTTCGATGATGCCTAGCAATTACTTGCTCAGTGTGAAGAATCACAGAAGCAAAACTAGCAGCGACAGCCGCAAAGATGACGTGCGAAACCCACGGCATATCTCTTTGCAACAGGTGTTTTATCAGCGGGAGTCAAATAATAATAATAAGGATGTTAATGATGACTGATTAACTTATTTTATCGTGAAGCTACTCAATTAGCGTAAAATTTAAAATTTCACGGGTGTTTTATTCACCTTGCGGTTGAAGAAAGAAGAAAAGAATGGTAATGATGATAATGAGAAGAAGTTGAAGTCGTGGTGATGCTGATGGTGCTGACAGTAAGAAAGAAGAGGAGGAGGAGGAAGAAGTGGAAGCTTGAGCCAAAAGACTAGTAATAAAAGGTGGGTGGGGGTCGGGAAGATACAAAATACTAAATACACAGTGGATGTCCACAGAAGATGATGAAGAAATGGGGAGCGTGTCGACACGTTCACTGCGGCTAAGTAACTGACTGACTGACTGACTGACTCAATGAGAAAAGGCCTGCAGGCTGTGTTTCGTGCTCTCTTACCGCGCGAGATCCCTATCTACCAGTTCCATCCAATATATCGGGATAAGGGGGTGTGCACACACACTGTTGCACACCGGCGAAAAACTCCCGCTGCGGTACACCAGTCCCATGAGACAAGACAAGACAAGATAAAAGAGTAAACGACAACGACGAAGAAGAAGAAGAAGAAGAAGAAAGAATAAGAATATGAAGTCGAAGAAAACACGGCAAAGAAGAAGAAGAAGAAGTACCCTCTGCTATTAAACATCAACAAGACACATTTTCATGTTATGAAAATTTTTTACCTAACTTGAACCTTTTCACACTTGTTTAAAAAAACATAAATATGCGTGTATGCATTACTGGTATTATTATAATGAGTATTAATAATAATATATTGATGATAATTACGTTGAAATTATTGAAATTTGTTAAATAAGTTCGCGTGTAACAAGATGAGTTGATTATAATTATAGTGATATAAAACTGTTTGGATGATGATGATGATAATAATGATGGTGGTGATGCGTAATATAAATGTATATATGTACGTATGTAATGTATATAAAGAGAAGAGGGTGTCCGGGAAATTGAGAATCCGGCTGCGAAGTGACTGCGGATTTACGCGCTCGTTGGAGAGGTAACCGATGCGAGAGGAGGGAACCAGTTTTTAACGTCACCTTTGGTTCTTCGGTCTCCTTCGTCTTTGCATTTAGTCTTATAAGAGAAGAGAAGAAGATAAAATAAGAGAAGATCAGACTTCTCGACCAACACAAATCGCAGTCCCTCGACCTTGTTTCTCACGATGTCTTCGGTAGTATATATACTCTACTATATAGTTATTAGTAGGTGAGAGGCTACTTAGCAAATCGAATAATTTTCAGGTCACGCATATGATACACACGTACAAAATAATCACCAGTACATATACATAAACACCAGTACAACACTCCGCAAACGATGTGTTGTTGTTGATTAAGATAATATTAATATAAATATAATATCTATAAATAAAATTGGCAAATTTATATACATACAAAAATATTATTATTGATTAATTGTGATCAATCGCCATCATTTTTAAAAGATCAACACCAGATCAATAAATTCGGATGAAATAAAATAATCAATCCAATTAGCGACATACAGAGACACAATTTATTTTTAATAACTTCTACTTGAGTTCGTGAGACACGACTAGCCGACTGGAGAGATATCTTCATCTTTCCACTCAAGCCTAAAGGCCTTTTAAATGCTGTCAAGATTAAATGATGACAAAAAAGAAGGAATATTAATATATACATATATACAACATTAAGTGTAGTAATAAATGATGCACAGGGTACGCCCGCAAGCAACAGGTTTAAGAGAGCACATATATGATCAAAAGTTGATAATAGTGTTCATTGTACTCGCCAAGTATTGAGAGGGATGGACTTACCTAACAAATAGCTCATTGTTACAACTTGCATTTTCTTTTCTTCCTTTTTATTTCTTTTTCTTATTCCTTGGCGAAAACGACGGTGATGTTACACTCCGCGGCTCTTGTGTCTTATTCACCATCGCCTACGTTATTGTCTGTCGGCTTATTTTCCTTCTATTCTATTCATTGTAATTATGCTTATTACTCATTATTACTTTTTTTATTTTTTAATCTCCGGTATAATATAAATTGAAACAAATTGTCAGAATAATTATTCTAATAGATAAACGAATCATTTGGTATATTCGGTGTTTGGTAATAATATCAATCACGGTATAACGTATAGTACCGCACAATTGATCCCGAGTCGAATATAATAATATACATACAACCGTGGGATGGATCACACGTATAATAATATAAGATCCAACACGAGATATTTGATACAAAATATTCTCCATGGCTATTTATACGATCAATACATAACATTATATATTTTTATATAAAAAAGAATGAAAAGGAAGAAAAAAAAAAAATTAAGTATACCTAAGAATAAATAATACACTCTATACATATGTGTATATACGTCTACATTAATCTGTAAGCAACATCATGAAAGTTTATGTGCGCAGATCGCGATAAACATTTTTGTATCCACGTCGTTAATCTCCATCTCATCGTATCGGCAATTCTCCATCCTTTCTCTGTATGATGTACACGAGTATACAAGAGAGTTATTTTCATCTCTGTCTGCGTTGAAAGGGCCCCAAAGTGAGAGAGATACCGTGAGATCAACAGAGAGCTGCAAAGGCCCATGTACACCACAAAAAACCTGTCCCGCATAATTACATTATCGGTCAGATCTCGCACGACTTCTGTCCAGACTCTCTGGACCCGTTCGACCAGGCCAAGAAGCTGCACTCTTGTCTCTTATTACTCTCTCTTTCTCTAATCCTTAGGTTCTTTCCTTGTCTTTCTTTAACGAGAGTAGTCGTGTAAGCTTAACCGTATAGAGATAGCAAAGATCAAGAGAAGACACACAATAACTAATAAGACTCCAAAAGAGAGATCTGAGGATCCCTGAGGCCGCAGGGGGTCAAGTAGTCGTCTCGTTATCCTCTTTCACGCCAACACCCTCATGATTGATCCTACGAATATGTATATTAGTTTACAACTATTCCATCATCTTCTACTAAACATTTAGCTTCAGTAATTAATGCTTTTTTTCATCATTTTTATTTTTTTTTTTTTATTGACATGGGAGATGTTACATGGACGTATGATGGAATGCGTTACAAAAATTGACAGTAAATACAGACAAAATAATAATTAAAAAAAAAAAATAATAAAGTAATTATAATAATAATAATTTATAATTATAAAATAATGTAATAGTAATTATAATTTTCTTAACATTATGCAACGTAATAAAAGTAAAAATATATTATATATATTTTAAATTCGGACGAATTGATAATTTATTTTTATTCTTGTTGTCCTATGTTGCATTGAGATTCATTATTAAATTATGTAACGATGTTTTCTTACAATAAATTATTATCAGAGATATGGTATAAAAAAAAGTTCTATTTATAAAAAACAGTACTCATTATTATTATTAATGCATAAATGTAAATATGGTATTTATTTAAAAGTCAAATAAATAACTATACCTACATTTAGCTAGTAATATCAATCGAATTACTTTTGCATCTTAATTATATTTGTTAATCAATAAAACGTACGATGAAAGCCATTGATAATGAACCAACATTAATTAATAATTTATGTTCTCAATAAAATCGTATCAATTATTATATAGTATAGATATATATATATATGTATGTATGTATTATAATTTAATTATAAATAATTAAATTATTGATCAATGATGGGTTCATGTAATGACACCAGATTTTTTTTTTTTACTTGTCTAATATAAAAGCTAATTGAACAATAATTTATATCAACAATACAACGGAGCATTTAAGCATTTAGTTATTTGTTTTTCCTTCTTTTCTTTCTTTAGTTCTATGACCTTCCAAGACTTTGTGGCAATTTATTACATGTATGGCTCTATTGCAATGATAAATTCATATTGTTAGTACTGAATATCATTATGTTAATATTGCTATCAAATAAATTGAGTACCGTTGGTTAATTAACGCTGAATACTTAGTAGGTATTTTTTGTTTTATTTTTTTTTTATCTTTTTCATTTAGTAATTAAATGCGATTCGAAATAATAGTTAAATATAACATAAAAAAATATATTCATAAAATAAATTATGTTGCAAAAGACGTATCTAAATATACAATAAGTAATTGGCAAAAATTTTTTTAATGTAAATAAATTTTTGTTAATCAAAAGTGAGATTCATGCAACATGACTTGAACAAAAAAATAAGAGTATATATTTAAAGAAAAAAAAATAAATAAATATAAAAAATACTGGAAGTTAACATGGAGGATTAATAGTATTAAGGCGATAAAGTTATGTTCATCTAAACTGAGATCTAAATTTCTAAATATTCACGGAGGACAAGAGGTTTCTTTTTTTTCTATTATTTATTTTTATTATTTATTAGTCATTTTCATAATAATTATCAATGATTCGAAATTTTACGGTAGAAAAATATACGGAATTGATGCCGATAAGTATGTGATAGTGTCTCGGAAGTCGAATCATTTATTTTCATTTTTTTTCTTTAATATTTATAATTGTTAGATTTAATTTATTTAATTTTATTAATCATCTTATTTTTTTGATTCTAAAATTTGCGAAAATGTGCGCAGACATTTTTTCTCTTAAGCATTTAATAAGTCTTTATTTTATTATTTTGTTCATTACAAACTTTAATGCTCTCACGAGCGTTTATTTATTTTTAAAATGAATTATTTTATATATTTTTTTTAATGGTTTTTCATTAATAAAAAAAAGATCTAAGTTCGATGAATCTTAAGCAAATTGACTATTAATCACGTTATCTTTGCCATGTAATATTATTTTCATTTTTATATTTCAATTCACTCGCACCCTTTTTTTTATTTTATTTTCATTTTTAAAATTTTTTATATCATTTTCTCATTTTCTGGTCTATACACAGACGCATCGCAACCTAATATATAATTAACTACAGGGACGTGCATTTGGTGCAAATATAATCAATAAGTAATAATAATATATATATATACTTAAACTTTATCGCAATTATTTAATAAGAGATAATTAGCGATGGTAATAATAATTATTACCATCATAATATAATAGCTGCTCTTGTGTGTTATCATTTCTTCTCGAAATTTCTAACACTAACTCATATTATATATATTCAATGATTTAATATATTAAATAATCATATATATATATTTATAAATTTATATATAATATTTAATGTTTATAATTACTCTACAATTATAATAGCGCGCCAATGATAAAAAGAAAAAAAAATTAATAGCGAAAATTAAACGAAAAAAAAATTTTATAAGTAAGGCTAACTTTCATTTAATTTTAATCAATTATTTATTTTTTTTTTTTTTTTTTTTTTTTCAAAAATAAATTTAGCGAAAGCGTGTTTCACATACAAAAAGCAACAATTAGAGGCCTTGTTATCATTAATCACGATAGTCTATCTTTTTATATATACTATTAGTAATATTTAAAAAACCTCTGTGTACATTTTTATTAAAATGTACTTAATTTATTTTTCGTCTTCGTTTTATTCAAATATTATATATACTTGCTATATACCAATGTTATTATTATCGAAATAATTATCGATTTTTGTCAACTTCTATTTTAAACATTTAAATCCAATATTGTTAAAAATTTTTTTAATTTTATATTGAAAGATATAATAATTATTGTTTTGACATTCAAGAAAAGAAATTCAGTCTAGGCCAAATTATGTCACACCAGCTTTTGCATTATAATTAATAATGTCTTAATAGGTAAAATAGTTTTTTTTTAATTTTTTTACTTAATACTATCTTTAAGATTGCACTTATGCACCATCTGATTATTAATCATGAATTATATAAGTGCAGTCTTCAAGAATTTTTGTTTTAGATCTTACTTAAAAATGATTAATTAATTAAAAATTTTTAACGCACAATTACCCTGTTATGTGGGATTATTTTTTTCTTTTTAATAATCCCTAGTAACTTTGTTAAATTTAAATTTTAATAGTAATAAATATAAATTTTATAAATGTGAAAATAAGTGAAAAAATTTTATTAAGGCGCTTTTAATTAATTTTTTAAATAATTAAATTATTATGCGACAATAATTTATATGAAACCAATTAATAAATAACCAATTATTATAAATTTTTTTAACTATAATTATTAAAAAATCGACAACAATATTATAAAAAGCTGGCGTACGGCATGTTTGGCCTGGATAAATATTTTATTTAGAGTCTAATTATTGAAAGTATTTTCGTTCTAATATTAAAATTAATTGTTTATTATATTTATCATTAAATATTTCTATTTTTTATTTAGTTGTGAATGCTGCCGGCTAAGGGACAATCTAAAATATTTGGGTTTTATGTATTTTCTTTCTAATTTTATAAAGAGACAAATTTTAATAGTAATGACTGATACAAAATAGGATAATTCTAAATAGTCTTTAATCATTTTTTTTTTGTTCTGTTTTCAATAAAGCTACGTATACAGTATAAAAATTGTACAAGTATTATCGTTGATAGTGAAATATAATAGTGAAAAAACAAAAAAAAATATACATATATTTTAATAAAAAATAATTTTTAAATCTAAATCAAACGACATTAGAATACTTATTTGTTGTTCATTTAAATTAATAGCTACCATTAACCTAATTCAATAAAAATTTAAATATGAATTTTCATGATCAGTCAATGTCTCTAGAGATGATTTAGTACGTATAAAACCCAAAAATAAAAAATCTAAATTGGCAGTAAAGAATGGACGTTGCGCACGGCGCAAAAGTGTTTTACAGAGCGGCTGCATCGGCAGGCAAGGATTCCCGGCCTCATATTTAATATGACCACGATTTTACTTTGTATTTATTACTATACACAATAGTGAAAATTTTAACATACGAAGATCAAGTTGTCGATAGAAGACACGATGACAATTAGACGTAAGTAGCCATCGAACCTGTTGGAATTGACGGTGTTTCATCAGGCCTTCCTTTTGGTCCATACTGACCAATAAACGATCCGTCTTCTGTGAAACGTCCTGTGAAATTACAAAAATCACAATTTAATAACATTATTTACAACATCACTACACTATAACTATTTTCTATTTTTTTACATCAATATTCATACATCTACTTACTATCAAGAAAACTGATAATAAAAAAAAAAAAATTTGGAGATAAAAAATGAAAAATAGCCCGTTAGTACCTACCTTAAACTAACGTCGCGAATGCTTGTGCATTTGGCTCTTGCTTCCTTTGACGTCCGTATTGACCAATGAAGGACCCATCTTCATTCATACCTTCTGTTTTTTTTACAACGAAACGTAACAAAAACATAAAAACAATACATTGGATGGATAAAAAAATTAATAATTATGGTACCGAAAAAATGATAAAATTTTGATAATCTAAAATTTCAGCAAACTTAATTTGCAAAAATAAAACTAAACGGGGATGATTAATGAAAATTAACTAACAAAAAAAAAATGCAATAGTAATAAAGACAAAATTTCTACAGTGGTTTGTGGAGATTAAACTAGTGTAAATTAAAAGTTTTTCCAAGTCCAGAAAAGCTTGTGCGATTGTACTATATGTACAAAAAAAATTATATAATTTGGAATCGATATAACTTACCGGTATCACCTTCCCCGTATTCGGCCATCGAATCGGTATCAGATTCCGGATGTTTGCCGTCGTGATGAGATGATGATGCCAGTGAAGTACGGCCTCCGGCTGATTTAGTATCCAGAGGTTGTGAGTACTCGTGGAATCCGCCTTCTTCGGGATAATCACCTCGCCCTGCAGCTAATTCACGCTCATGAACCGCGTATTTACCACCGCGGTTGCGTTTTATTATGCAAACAATTATCAGCACCATTAGAAGAAAGACAATGGCCAACATCATGCCTGTGATAATAACAATAACAATGAAAATACAATTTTGAATTTATTTAATAAGCAAAAGAAAAAAAAAAATAACTTCGTCAATTACCGATAAACCATCCAGCAGTAGCAACATTTTCTTTCGGTTGTATAATTGGACCCTCAATACTAGTTTCTATCTCTTGAGGATCACTTTCAGTCAAATAGTCGCCATCAACAGCAACAATAGATACAACGTATATTTCACCACTCAAAAGTCCTCTAATCTCAAGTTCGTGGTTCAAAAATTCTGGATCTGTTGCGAGTGGAATAGTCTCACCCCTGAGCTTATATTTGGCAAAGAAATGACTTCCTGGGTAGCCATGAATATTAGGTAGCCAAGTTACTTTAATAGTAACGTATCCACTTTCTCTAGAAATAACTTGATATTGGAATTGTGGAACATCAGGTTTTTTGGAACGCTCAGTGTTGGCATCAATGTAAAGATCACCACCTTCACCAGCACGTGTTGTCGCGCGGACGTGTACACGGTATTTCGTTTCAGGCCTAAGACTTGCTAGTTTAGCAGAAGTTACCTCTGGCCTGGTAACGTGAGGCTGTCGTTCTAATAAAGGTCCCAGTGCTGTACCATCTACATATTGATAATAAATTCTGTAGCCCGTTAAAACTCCATTTGTCTCGACTGGTGGATTCCACATCAAGAAAAGAGCGCTTGAGCCGACCCGGTATGCTTCTAAGCTCAGTATAGTACCAGGTACACCTTCAGGTGTATCAAAAATAACAGCTTCAGATGGTGGACCATTATATTTACCATTAAATGCTAAAATTTTAACATAATTTTTAGTGTAAGGAACAAATTTATCGACAACTGCTTGTGTAGTATTAGCACCCGGAATTGTTATTTCACGCATGCCTTCTTCGGCATCTTTTTCTGTCCATGTTTGGAGTTTGTATCCTCGTAATTCACCTCTAACGGTTTCTATAGGTACTGCCGTCCATGTAAGAAAAGCAGTTGTACTTGAACGTACTTCTTGACAAGTAAAATTACCGGGTGCTTGTGTAGGTACATCTTCACCGGAATAACCAATAACTATTTTAGGTTCTTCTAAAGCCTCTCCAATCTCATTAATAGCAACAACTTTTATCTGATACCTTTGATAAGTTGGTAGATTTTCTATTAAATAACGATTTTTTCGCCAATCAGAAATATCTACATTGTTCCACTCCTTACCAGGTATATCTTCTCTCCAACTAACACGGTACGAAAATCTTGGTGCATGATGTTCGATTTGTGGCATTGCTGTCCAAGAGATAACCATATTATGTGGATCTGTTCCATTACCCATAACATTGAGTGGATTTTTGTATGGTCTACCCGCTGAAGTTGTACAAGGTTGACTGTGTAACGAAGGCTCCGATTTACCAACTTTATTTACAGCAATAACACGGAATGTAAAGTTAGCCCATGGGGTCATCGGTGCTTCAAAGGTTAAAGTAGTACCAGGGATGTCATCGCGAACGACTTCCCAGGAATCAGGTGTAAAACTGGTATTGTATTCTACTATATAATGTAAAATAGGTGCTCGATTATCACCCATAGAAGCCCATTTTACTCGGGCTTCTTTTTCAAGACACCGTATTTCTTTTAATTCTGGAGGATTTGGCTTATCTTGGACAGTGAGAGTTGCTGAGGCGGTAGCTTCATCTAATTCTGTCTTGGCTACACAAGTATAAATACCAGAGTCTAATTCTGTTGTTTTAGTTATTGTGAGAGAATGATCACTTGTGAGTACAAAATGAGGTTCAACTTCGAAGTCAATTGTTTTATTATTTCGCAACCATTCTATTTCTAACTCAAGAGTCGAATCCGTGATAGCATTACATCTGTAAATAATTTTTTAGTTAAATTATCTGTAAATTTTCTTAAGTGAATAAAAACATAAACATTGATATAAAATTACCTGAAAGTTGCTGGAGATCCCGCATAAACTTCATAATCCTCAGGTTCATCTGTAATTTTTGTTCGTTCTCTAACGACCAGTGAAGCACTTTTTTCGTCTTTTCCAAATTTATTAGTAGCAAGACAAGTATAAGCACCTGAATCCATAAAACCGACATTAGTAATATTTAAATCACCACTGTCCATAGTCTTGTAACGTCCACCAGTTAATTCTTGATTATTGCGTATCCACTTGACTGCTGGTTTTGGAGAGCCAGTTACTCTACATGTCATAATAATATTTTTACCGTCAACTGTCTCTTTATCCATCGGTGGTAGGTTTATTTCAGCTGGTATAGTCTGTACATTGACATAAACATCTTTGTAAATATAACCATTAGAATTGGTTGCGTTACAACCGTAATTACCAGTATCATGTTTTGTTAAATTTCTAATGGTGATTGAGTTAGTCATAATTTCTCGTCTTGGATTGTCAGGTGCTTCTGCAATAGGTTTACCATTAAAAATCCATTTAATATCTGGTTTAGGTACACCATGAGCTTCACAATGAAAAGTAGCAGTTTCATCTTCAGCGGCATTTACAATATCCGGTTCAACAGTAAAGTATGGTGCTGACTTAACTTGTAAGTTAATTGAATATGAAGTAGCACGCCCAACACCATTAGAGGCTTCACATGTATACGCGCCCTCATCTTTAAAATCAACACGTTTTATTATCAATGACTTCCCGTAATTACCATGTGTTATACGGTCTGAGGTTTTTATGCGTTCACCATCTTTACTCCAAATTACTTCTGGTAGAGGTGTACCACCAAATATACAGAACAATTCAGCTTTCTTTCCACGATAAGCAACTTCATTTTTACGAGTCACATACTGTCTTACTGGTTCATGCTTGTTGTGACTGTTAGAAGATCCAGCTGATATAACATTTAACAAAATTTTGTTGCCAAGCTTCAATTCACTACGAAATTGAAGCATAGCCATACACATGTAGTAAAAGTCTTCGGATACGTCATCTCGGGTAACATTACTGAACCACAAAGTTCCTTCCGGGTCAAGGGTCATACGGGAATTATTAATAGACTTAATGTTACCCTGATAGTCTTGAAGTAGCCAATAAACATTTGGCTTTGGCCAACCGTCAGGTGAAGAACAAGTCAGATGAAATGGATCACCCTCATTAGCAGTCACTGTTTTTATTTCAGTCTCTTGAAACCCATTCAACTCTGCTTTCCTTACGAATACCGAGTTGGACGTCGCTGTTCCCCACTCATTTACTGCAAAACATTGGTACTGTCCCACATCTTCGTCTCGCGGTTTAGCAATCACAAGACTACCTCGACCAGGTTGGGTTGACATACGGTCATCATACGCCGCATAGTTAAAGAATTTACCATTTTTTATCCATTGATAGCTAAACATCGAAAGGCAAAAAATGACGTCAATATTTTAATATAATAATATCATGTTTATAAAAATATTTATAAGTAAAAATATAAATAGGTTATTATAATAAATATCATATAGTTATTTTATTTTTCATTTAAAAAAAAAAGTGAGGATATAAAAGTTTAGTCATACAATTTACTAAGGTCAATACGCAATGTATTTTTTATCTTTCTTTCTCTCACCCGGGCGTGGTAATTTTATACTCGAGACTATGATGAGGTCATCCAACTGATTAAGACTAGTTACTTAAAGCTTTAATGCATTCTCTTCCCCTCAATTCAAATGTCGTGATATAAATGAAATTATTATTAAGATAATTTTTCTCTTGCATTTTTTTCTGCCCCATTAATTTATCATGAGACTTGATAAAAGAAAGTAAATAATAAGAACAATTACGATATATGTGTATACGTACGTTGGTGCTGGATCTCCTTCGGCTTCACACTCAATAACAAACGGCTTTTCATTTTCATTTTGCTGCGCTACTTGAAATAGTAATTCATCTGTCGGTGGTTGTTTTATCATGCGCGGCGGCGATGGACCTGTAAATCATAAATTTATTATTACCATTTTCATATCTCATTTATTGATAAATAAATTAAATGAACAATCAAACTGTTGAAAAACTACACTCATGTATTCATGTGTGTTTATATATAGAATTATGTTTCATATGTTTTAATAATAAAAACATGAAGTAAAGATGATGACAATAATGCAACAAGGCAATATCACACTGGTTAATTAAATTTAAAATACAAATAGTTAGGTCTATCTTGTGCTAAAAACTATCAACAATCATTAATTAAAAAATGTATCTTGTGGGTAATGATATGATTTTATTTATAAAGAAAAAAGTAGCACGATAATTAGTTGGATTATGATTCATGACTCATGAATTTAAATAAATATATGCATGAGATTATTTAAAAAAAAAAAAAAACGACAATTTGAGAAATATGTTTAGACATTAATTGATGATTCAATGAATATTGTAGCATTTTCTAAATGATTCTAAATGATTAGAAAAAGCCAAAATTTTATCAAGACTACATCTCTGTCATTAATTGTCTTTCACCTTGCATATAGCCCAGTATTCGAACTATAATTCAAAATAAAACAATTTATTAATATTTGTAATTCAATATCTTAAAAGTAGTATGTAAGGAAAATTACTCTTTAAAATATCCAGTCATTTAACAGTTGAGTTAAAAACAATAATCTCATCAAGTTCATTGTTAAATAACTAGATGAAATAACTCACTTAAGAATTATCTCATTTCTAATTTAATTAATAGAATAATTAATGAACTGATTGAGTTTAGTAATTAAACTTACCGGCTGATACGTAAAGCGCTGACACTAATAGAATAAATATTGAACACTTCATGGTCCCTGTATTGATGAAACTAGAATGAAAAAAAAAATTTATCTTCAAATTTCAATACAAATTATTATTATTAAAATACTTAATAAAATAAATAAAATTCGATTAAATATAGTAATTAGCAATCATAGTGTTTTGGAGTAACGGTTGCTACTGGAAACGCGTTAAGGTGCAAAAAAAAAATTACAGTAATAATGTATCTTTTGTCTATCTACAATGTAATAACGTACAAAGTACTTAGTTACTTAGATGTATTAAATTTAATGTCATCAACCCAGCCAAGAGAATTTTTAAAAATGAATAAGAATTGTTGAAACCGCACTGATGAGTATGTAGAGGAAATACAGTGGTCATAAATGTTAATATAACACTGTAGAGCATATATTTGTATTGTATGTACTCAGTCCGATTGTGTAATTGCAGAGTAAGAGCTAGGCACGTATTTTAAACACGCGGATTCGTTGATGAAACAGGTAGTTTAGTTCTCTCAAGATGATCGATCGAGAGTTTATTTTTAAATAATTTTTTAATTATCTAGAAAATTATTTTAAGTTTTTTTTTTTATGGTGTATTTTTGTTAAACACTTTAGTGAATTTTAATTTTATAAATTAAGCACCGTCATCTGCACGGAATTCCTCTCGACCCGATTGGCCCATCGTAAGAGTAACTTGAAAGATTAATTAAAAAAAAAAATAAAAAAAATCATACTGGAATCAGTAGAAGACGCATTGTCAATGGAACCAATAAGATGAGCAACACTAAGTGTAATGGTACCAGAAGTGGGACTACAAATAAGATTGGCGGTACGTGTATTATTCCTGATGGACTCCCGATTCGCGTTCGCGTGGTCAAAGCTCTTGGAGACGAACTGGGTTAGCTGCTCCATCCTCGGGGACTCACTTGCCAACGGGGGCGAACATTGCCCGACCAGCGGATCCGGCCTGGCCGGTTGGAGAGTAAAGCTTCACGACGCCACGCGCCCCCTCAGGCCGCCATTCGCACGCCCGCCAATCCCACAATCGGAGGCGTGGAAATTCCGCCCTGTTTTCATCCCCTAATACGCCCTGATGACTGAGAACTCCGTGGATCCTCATTAGCATTTCACCCATTTCCACGTTCTTGGTGCCAACTACCAGCACACTCCGGTTCCTCCTCCACAAGTTCACGCGGATTCTCGCGTGCGCGGATCCCCCCGTTGAAGCTATCTCTAGCCCCACGAGGAGTCTAACACGACTCGACTAACACGACTAAATTTACGATGTATCATCGAGTACTGTACTCATGTCATTTGTTTCTTTATATTTTCATTTTTATTATATTTTTTCATCACTTCTCTTCTCTTCTTCTCCAGTTTTCTTCTATATATTTGTTATCTTTCTCCTGCATCCGATGGATCAGAACCTGTTAATAAAAATAAATCTATCATCAATAAAATTACACCAGATTGATTTTGAAAGAATAATTATACATACCCAAAATGAAAATAAAATATGGAAGACATAAACCACCAGGTTGGTGGGTTTAGTGCTATCAGAGGGTAAAAAAATAAAAGAGTGCGACCCTGGTACGTCATAGTCATAGTGGTGATGTTTGTCGACACCAAACTCGGGAATATTTAAATGCGATTGCATTCGGGAATGTAATTGCCCGAGCAAATATTCCACATGACAGCCCACGGTGGGCCTCGTTGGCTAGTCATTCCATCAGCGTATCACCAGCACCATCACCAGCTGCGAAAGAGAGACTTTTGTACATACGCTCAAATTTAGTGGCAGTAAAGTGACTGAGTGAGACAGAGGATCAAGCAAATTTGTCAGTCTAGTGTGTGTTATTGCTACAAACCAAAGTTAGCTAGCTGCCTACCGGGTGAAGAGACAAGTGTAGAGTTTGGATAAAGCACAGCGAGAAGCGGACAGTAGACAGGCGATAGGCGATAGGCGACAGTAGGTGCCCATTGCCCACAAGAAAGACACTGAGTTTATTCTATTTGATGGACAAGGACATAGACAGGGACAAGGGAAAGGAGAGATGAAGAGGTTGTGTGTGACAACCGAGTAGCAGCGGCCCGAGTCGGGCCAATCAGGACGCAATGCGATTACCTTAACGAGAAATCCGATTACTTATTCATTCCCCTAACTCGAAATCAGTTTAACTAATCGTTTAATTCGGTCGCTTCGTAACTGGGCGAGTGAGACCGAGACAAGACGAGGATGCTGGATGTGGGAAATTGGAGAGAGTGAAAATTGTTACCCGCCAACCCCGTCTAACCCCGGAATGCCAGATCGGCAAGCTCACCGGTGTATCCCACCACCACCACCACCACCACCACCACCACCACCACATTAACAATTTAACAGTACACTGAGACTACACGACAACTATATCGGTTGGATAAACGCCACACTCTGTATCGCTGGTGCTGGTGCTAGTGATGGTGCTGCTATTGCTGCTGCTGCTGCTGCTGTTGCTGTTACTTCTGTTGAGTAAACGTATATATGAATAAGAGAGACGTGTCTTGTGTGTAAGAAGATAAGGATAGAAATACAGACCGAGGCCTCGTTCAATTCAATTACGTAATGAATTGTCGTGCCTTGAGTAAACACCCTTCCTCACCGCGACTCGTTTGGGGCAAACTACACGGGGGATGAGACTCTGAAAAAGACTTAAGCTCTGCTCAGATAGGAAACATCCGCCACCCGAAAAGTAAGGATGGTTACCCAAGCTGAATCAATCTACACCAACCGTACGTTTCTTCGTTTTCGTTTTCTTCTTAGTTCAATTTTTATTCTTCTTCGTCGCATTTTCAAACTGTCTGCTGACAGTATAGCCGTGTCGCTGTCGCTTCACTGGACTCATGTCCACACTCTTTATCGGATACGGCATTACCATTTTTTATTTTTCTGTAAACCAACAAAATAGAATTATAAAACTTTTACAAAATATCATTCCAAAGCTGCTGACTTGTCAAATTTTATATTTGACTTAAATGACACAAAAAGGAGAAGATATTTGAAAATTTTTTTCTTTAAATAAATAAATAAATAAATAAATTGAATATGAAAAGTATTTGATTTTTTTGTTGACATTTTAAATTTTAATAATTTTTTATTATACAAATGAAGAAAAATAATAATCGGTACTTGAATTACCGAAATTAAAAAATCAAATAATTAGCAATTTATTGATTGAATTAATTAATTATAATTAAAGAATTAAATAGACACACAAAATCAATATTTATAATGTTTAATTATACAGTTTACATTTAATTATTTAATTATTTCAGGTGCAACGTTTGGGGAAATTAATGAAAAGCAGTAATCGATCGTGTCGGTTAGGTGATGAAAGTTTATTTAAATTAGTGTGATTTTGATCACCAGGTGGCATTAGCTCCCAGAACAGATGGAGAAGAGGATGCATGACAAGCTGTAAAAAAAGTGAAATTGTATAATTAAATTACTAATTACGATGGCAAACTTGTTATGTTCTATTATAGAATCTAGATGATAATGATAATAACTCTGCTGTTGTCATTATTAGTAATAACTATGAATTTTACGATAATTGATTATTAAAATCCATCCTAATTATGTATTATTAGAAGCGGCGTTAATTATACAATAATTTCATCAAGTATCATTGATAAATGTAATTAATTATTACCTAACGTTGATTAAATTTATTTAGCGTAATATATCTTAGTTGATGTTTTATCATTTATTCCATTGAAACATACACCCATTCAAAGTTTTCAAAACGTGTCTTTTTATGAATTCCTCAGCAAGAGACTATATCGCGTTACAAAAGAAAATAAATTTAATCTCGATATGTTTATAATATTATTGGTTTATTCATTACCTGTTTTGATTACAAAGTGTTAAATTTTTTTGACACTATATTAAGTTATTTGATTGAATGAAATAACATGCTATTATTTACTGACACTGAAATTAATAGAAATAGTAATTATAATTAATTTCTTTCTAATTAATTTCATTTTTTGACAAACAAGTTATTGTAAAGAAGATTTTTAAAAAATTTTCTCATTTTTTTAATTTTAAAAAGATGAATCAAATTCTATTAAAGTATTTTATTAGTATTAATTTATTTTTTAAATAAAAGTAAAATAAATGTACTGTTTATATATTATACTGGAATTATTAACAGACACTTGTCAATTTTTTGGATTTTTTAATAACTAAAATATAATTAAAAAATTCCACAACTAAAAATTTAAAAAAAATATTTCTTTTTTTATCATTGATTTGTAATAAAAACAAAAAAAAATGTCAGGTGTCTGCTAATTTCAGTGTCATGTTTATATGTATTTGATAATATGTTCATAAAAGAGAAAAAAAATAAATCAGGTGCGTGTAAATTTAAACTTACCGCGTAATTTACAAGCAGCGCCATCTGGAGAACATCGGCAAAATAAGCGGGTGGTGCCAATTGTAATTTGAAAAAGAAAAAAAAATATAAAGTTGTCGTTTTATTGTGAATTCGGCTAAAAAGTTAAGGAGGTTAAGTATTTATAAGTACATAATTATTACTACTGACTTATTATTCTATATACATAATAATATTATTTAAATAATAAAAATATTCGTAAACTTAACCGAATTAGCCTACAAGGCAATGAGACGACCAAATGTCTCGTGACGCTCGTGAGGATGTGGTTTTCACGTCAATAAAATCAAATTTAATATCAGGGATAAATCAATATCACAGAGAAATTATAAATGTTGAAAAAATATTCCAATTTCCAGCTGTGAGTGCTGATATTGACAAGGATTTAACGTATCAGGTAACGACTAATTTACATCAGTTAACTAGTAATTATTATTATTGTTATAATAATAAACCAAAGAAAGACTTTAATAGAATAAAACCGTCTGTCGATGAAGGAGCCATTAATTTGATGGAATGGAGTTCGTTTGACCAAACAAGTTCTTGTCCAGCTCTATCACACGATTTGTTAACCCAAGACAAGCACGATGACAGCGACCAACAAACACCAGTGCAAGATGATACTGGGATGGAGACAGTCGATGACATTGAGAAGTGGTTAGAAACATGTACTGATAATTCTCCTGCTATTTCAATTAAAGAAATGGATCCGATTAAGTGTCAGCAGCTCGAGGTCGTCGATACGTACCTAGGCGATGAGATGCCTCATGCGTTCATGGAGAAAGATTCCCTTTCAATAGACATTGATTTGACAGATAAAAAACTGAGTCACAGTCTTGGGTACGATCCGATTCTAGAAGAGCTGCAGAGTGAAAAGTTCCTCGAGGTTTGTGAAAAAGATGGTTTTACAATGCCGGAGTTTCAACTCGACCAGTTGGAGCCTTTGACGCTTGATCCCAATGACATGATGGTAGCTGGTGAAATGTTGCCATCAACCAGCATCAACAATCCATCAACGACTCTGGCTATCAATGGGCATCAGGATATTTACACTGATGATATTAAAAAAGTCAGTTGTATAGACACTGATGATATTTGCGAAAATACGTCTCAAGTTTATGATTTAAATGATAAATTTAGTGAAGACGATGGGGCTAATGTTGAAAATATTGTCCATATTATCAACGAGAGTGATTTGAATGACTATGAAGAGGAACGTGACAGCGATGATGGTAATATAGATATCGGTGAAGAAAATAAAATATTGGATGATATTGAGACGGTGGATGCGGCAATGATTGACACAGTTGATGCGTCATTGTCAAATGCCGATGATAATATGTTCAAGGAGTGTAAAGCTATAAGTTTACTATCCGAGAGTCATAAAGTATCTGATAAAGTAGAGGCTGGTGACGTAACTGAACAGTTTGTTGGTCAGGAAGTACAAGAACAGGACCAGGAAAAAAGCAAAGAAGAAATCATGGCTGTAGTGGCAATTTCGACAGACAAGCGTTCAAATATGACTCAGATTGTTATCAATACTGGCAAAGGCGAACAGATATACAGAGGTAAAACTTCTGAGTTAATGGAAGCTACTGGTTATTTTTCAAAAAGTCCTAAAATAAAAACCAATTTGAGTAATAATACAGTAGAAATTAACCATACTGAGGTTCCACTTAGTGGATCGTTGAGCAATCAAGAAGCTATTATATCAAAGGCACTCGAAGAATTGGGGTTCAGCGAAGAAAATTTAATGTCTGTGACAATGCCTGATAATGGTAAAATGTGGATTTGTCCTAGGGAGGATTGTCGTAGAGAATTTAATCGCTTGTATGCATTGAAAGGTCATATTTTAGCTCATTATGGCGTTCGTCCCTTCAAGGTAATTTATTTTACTATCAATAATAATTAATTGAAAAAAATAATTTAGTTACTAATTTATGTATGTATATTATTTTTATTTTTCAGTGTGATCAGGAAGGATGTACATGGGCATTTCATTCGGAATTTAAATTGAAACGACACAAAGAAACTCATTTGAAACGTAAAGATTACGTGTGTCAAGTTGAAGGCTGTAATAAACGTTTCACTACTGTTTATAATCTATGGACACATGAGAAATTACACACAAGGCCCAATCGGATTGCGTGTCAAGTGCCTGAATGTGAGGAAAAATTTCAGACTAAGCGAGCGCTAGAGTTACACATGAAAACACACGATCAGAGTCACGCGCCATATGTTTGCATGCATGAAGGCTGTGGTAAGCGTTATTACAGCAGCAATGCGCTGACATCTCATCAGCGGTGCCATAGTTACAAGGAAGCTGATATCAAATGTTCGTGGCTGGGCTGTGGGAAGATATTCGACAAGCCTTGTCGGCTTAAAGCACACTTGCGATCTCATACTGGGTCCAAACCGTACCTATGCACATTTGCTGGGTGCTCCTGGGCATTCACGTCGTCGAGTAAGCTTAAGAGACACGAAAAAAAGCATACTAATGACAGGAAGTTTATTTGCGATGTTACAGGATGCAACAAAGCCTTCATGCGCTCGGAACATTTGAAGGAGCACAAGCTGACACACTCCGAGGGTCGATACTTTCAGTGTTATATTTGTGAAGCGAGCTTCTCTGCCAAAAGCAGTTTGTATGTACACATTAAAAAACATCAAAATAAAATAGCTCCTGAGTATGCACCTGAGAGTATTCAGCCTTTGGATACCAAGTTGACATTCACCAATGGTGATAATAATTTCTGCCATAGCTTACCAATAGACTTGGAGTCAGAGATGGTAGATAATGACGTACTACAAGAGTCATTTATTCCTGAAAAGTATGTCAACTCTTCGAGTGATAGTGTTATGATTGACAATAAGACAGTAGTAAGTGAAATAATTACGGCAAAACCTAAATTTACATGCCCAATTAACAATTGTACGCGGACTTATATGAAAAAAGTATCATTAAAGTCACATATTGTTAAATTCCACGGTTATTCTATTGAAGATAATGAATTAAGTCAGTCCTCAGAGACAGATTATGTATTGTGTGCTAATAATACTAGTGTAAGTAATAAGGTAGAAACGACGAGACGTATCAACGTCAACGCAGATGGAGATATTGACATTGTTGACACAGTAGCAGAGATAACGTGTTTACCGGAACCTAAACCGCCACCGACGAATGAAAAATTACTAAAAAATATTAATAATCGTGGTACAGAAGCTAGTAATCATGGATCCGCGAGAACTGGACTGACTTGCGCGGATATTTTGAAAATAAAACGTGATAAAAATGAATCGTTTGATGACTCAGTGATTGGGGCATCTGATGTCGTACTCGGTACTGCAGATTTAGCTGAAAGTTTATTACTGCCAGATGAATTATCTTCGATGTATTTTCATGATGATATGGGTAGTGAATGTCAAATTTTGTTACTTGACTCTACTACCGCTGATTCAGAGACAACTGCATATTAATTCAAATGATCTTTAATTATTATCATTATAATTATTATTTGTAAATTTTTAAATATAAAATTAAACAACCACATTGTAGATAATAATCAATATAATTGCTACTGAAGTGATTGAAACAAATTATTTTAAATAAAGTATTTATAAATACTTTTACATTTTGATACTCTAAGACGTCGCAATTAAAAAATGTTAGTGACACATACTAATTATGAATTATTGGCGTCATTTATTATGAATATTGTTATAAAAAATAATAATTATTAGTAAGTTTTAATCCAAAGAATATAAAAGAAAAATATTTATATATATAAATATATATATATATATATATATATTGTAATTAAAAAAATTAAAAAACCTAATAATTGCGATGTTTATTTTGTAAATTATATTATATAAATAAATGTTTCAATCTCTTCAATGTTTATACATAAAAATAATATTAATTATCTTTGTAAAACGGCCTGTGATCAAAAAAACTATTGATAATGCATTCATTAACCCACATATGTTAATAATCATCTCATTACTTTAAGAAGGTATTTTTTATTAACAAATAAAAAACAAAATGTTGAATATTTTTTCATAAAAGTGTTACTTTAATTATTTACTTAATTTAATAATAATAATAATTATTATTATAATTATATTAAAATGCATCTATCAAATTATCAATGTCAAATAAATTTTTTTACGTCATTCACAAGTCTTTACCATTTATAATAATCATATAAAAATTACTACATACAATTATCAATTAAAAGTATTTTTAAATAAATTTTAGCCGAACACAATTTAGCAGTAATCACTTATTAGTTATACACATATGTCTTAACAAAACAAAAACATTAAAAATTATCATACCATGTTGCTATTAAAAAATGGAATAACAATTTTATTTTCTAGTTAAATCTACATAGCGAACAGTAATACTTTCTTTGGAATAATATTTATTTGGAATGATTTATGTAAAAATACTAGCAATAATTCACCACTACTTCTTTTTAATCATTATAATTATAATTCATAATTAATATTAAAATGACAAGTTAGCAATCATACACATGTTCCGCATTCATACTATTGGTGTATAAAAAAAATTATTACTTGCATCTTACTATGAATATTACAAATTATAACTATTGCTATACCAACGTCATTATCAGTTATAATTAATATCCATTAATAAAGATGAGCATATTACTATTATTTAGCATGAAAAAAAAAAAAAAATTAAATTATTAAAAATAATTTCAAACAATTTCAACATCTCTAACTTTAGTCCTCTGTTCATTATTAGCTGACGACAATGGTGGCTCATGAATACTCTTATCACTGGGCTTGGTAATACGTTCTAGACAACTTGTTAGACCAGTAAGTAGGCAGTGAACTATAATTATAAATCCAATACCACCTAATGATACTAATAATGAGATACCTGGCTTTTTCCAATCTAGAATTTTGTAAATGTAATGAAAGCCTTTCCTATCAAGGCCACCAGCAGAGTAATAAATAACAGAAAATATTAAATAAATAACAATAACAACGACAGTCCACCAAAAGCAACGCAACCGTATCGGTACGGCACAAATAAATAAGTCTACTATTATAAGTATACTGTTAAGAGCATGTTGCATTAAATTAACACTGTCCACGAAGTGAATTTTTGGGTCGTAAATGGCAATCCAGTAGGCTGCTGTAACACCAATAGCCAGCGATGCTGTCACGCTGTATAAAAACCAGTAACTTTTTTCCAAGCAGGTGTACTTGATATTGTACGGATTGAAATCAGGATATCGTTGATGTAACCATCGTCTTGTCACCAGCGTTGCACCAAGTATCGTTTGGGCAACTCCAAAAGTTAAATGCCAGTTCGTTAAATAAGCAAACCATTTACGAGATCCATATTTGCTAGCTAATGGATCGGTGCTTCCTATCTCCCATACTGAACAAATAACTATTGAAATCCAACCAAGACTCATGAACCAACGATAGTAGACATACCACCAGGGCGCGTATGTTTTGAACCTTGATTCTGTCAGCAATCTTGGATGCGGAGGTGTCTGCTTTGTTTCTAGCCATGCTCGACTTATTTTCCGACACCAGAGTTTGTTCACCATCGCTCGAGGTCCTGAAAAAATTTTTTTTGAGTAAGTAAAGAGATTTTTATTCACTGTTGTGTATTATTAGACTAATTGGGTGTCAAAAACAAAAACGGGAATTTTTTTTAAATGCTTGCTGTTATCTGATAAGAGATTACTGTCTGAAGAAAAATAAACGGTGTAAGTAGATGATGTGTAAATGAGATTAATTTGAGCTTATCAAATACAATTAAATTAATTTGTTTTACTTTTTTTTAGATGAAAAATATTTACAAAAGAGATTTGAGTAAATAGAAATCTTACGAGTACATAGTTGGATTAACAGAAACCATAATTCCTTAGTGGATAGTTTCAACATTCTGAATTATGACATAAAGTTTATTGTCACTTGGTAGGTGCTTATGTAGATCTATTGTTAGTCTACATATTTCTTAGATCAATATAATAAATACATTTTTAATAGAAAACATTGGGATACTGAAGAACAATCACAGCCACGTTTTTGATTATTTTTAAATGTCAACATTTCACAGCTGACATAACATCTAAACCCCAGTGTCCTCTGGTTGAAACTATTGAAACTACGGCAGGTTATTAAATTTCGCGGCAAGTTTTTATAAACATTTATTAGCTTTGTGTTGAAGTTTTTTTTTATTTATTTTGTAAAATGGATGACAAGTTAATGACTGCGATTATTTCAATTGATTTATTTATCCTTCAGAGCAAGTAAATTTTAAACTACGCTCCGAAAAAGTTATTTCTTTCAGCGTGATTTATTTATTACTGATAAAATATTTTTTTTTTTTTTTTTTTTTTAAATATTTTATGAGGTTAGAATTTTTAAACTAAAAAAATTCTTACATCAGCGATAAAAAGAAACGGTGAATAATGCTTCTGTTTAGAAAAAAAAATCTTATGATCAACTTTCATAGTAAACGATAAAAAAATTTTGTTTGCAGAAAGATAAAAATAAATTTTCATAAGAAATTGTAAGAATAATCTGCTTCAATAGAACTTGTTATAAAATTTTAGCGATAAAGTTTTTTTTTTTCATTGAAAATATTCAAAATTATAATAATAAATTGTTGTGATCTAAAGTTAATAAATTATTTTTAATGTTTTCAGGACAAGGTCGAATTTTATAAGTTAACAGTGCATTAAAAAATTAAAAGGTATCAAGTCAGGTTCACAACATAATTTTTTTAATCGAGAAGGTCATGGCTATCATCTAATAAAGTTAATTGAGTTCCAATACTAAAATTATCGAACATAAAAATAATAATTTCTATATTTTTCGGTACCAGAAGAGATTATTAATAATTTAAAGGTTTCAAAAGTCAAAACATTTCTATTACCCAACAAATATTTTTCGCTGAATTTCTACCTCGCCGAATATTGCAATTATCCTAATAACAGTGATTATAGATTGTATTAAAGGGTAAACCGAAAGAATATAACGGATGTGGTAAGTATTTTTTTTTTAAACAATTCTCAAAATTCTTTTTTAACACAATTTTCAACCACTATTATTCAAGTATAGCGTGACACTGCATTACTAAACTCATTAAATTATTAAACGAATTTTAAAGATCAGATCACAGACTTTATCACACATATCTATCTATTGTAAATAACTTCGTAAGAATTTTCATTCACAAAATAAATTTATAGACTTATCTTTTCAGGTTGTAAAGATACACTGAGATATCCATCTATCACTTGTTCACGTTTTTCCGGTAAATTACACGTTTATTTATTCAGGTGAATCATTGTGTACCGTTAAAATTTTCATTATCATTGTATAATAAGAGAAAAACTTTTTTGAATACGTTCAATGAAAAAGGAATCTTATTTAACCAGCAAATTAAATTCCCGGAAAAAAAAAAATATTTTCTCTATATAAAAAGAAGTTCAATGAATGCGGTGAGAATCATCAATTAATTATTCGAATTTAAAAACATGTAGTAGTTCTTAAATAGATACTCCAAAAATAACGTAATTCAATTAAAGAAGAATTATATTAATAATAATAATAAATTTATAACAATAACTAATTCAATAAAACCTAAGTGTATTAATAGAAATAACGAGACAGCAAGAAGTAATTAATAATGATGGTTTGCGGCTCTGAGGTTCACACGACGCGCGACTCACGCCACAAATGTATGTATCAGAGGTCGTGGTCATACGGTCAATCAATCTATACTAATTTAAAGTTAATTTGTGACAATCTTGTCTTTATTATTATTAACATTCGGTCGCGTGAACTCAGGTAATTCATATTCATATTTGTATGGAATTTTTGCATTCAAATTATTTGTCTCGCGAACTCTATTTTATAAATTTTCTAATTTACACTCCTATTGTACTCAACCTTATCTTTACTATAAATTTATTACTTCTTCAATTTCTTCGTCTTGTCCACTTGACTTCACAACAAATTTTTATCTTTATTGTTTCCGTGTCAATTTAACTATTAAATTTTCTATCAATTTCTCTACTATACAGCTGTACGTAAACAAACGAATTTTTATTATTCTTGTATTACTTCATTTATCAAGTACGATTTAAAAGTACATTTACTTTAGTTTATCACTACTGACCTGGTATACCTGAGTCTATTCAGTGATTATTAAGTTATTTACAATAATTGAACGGAACAACCTTTTATAAGCTATAACTTCCCCTTTTTTCTTTCGGTACTCTTTAAACAACTTCCCCTACTCTTTCATTCTTGTTCACATTTGATCTTCTATACTTGTTATATATATATTACCATAATTACTGTAAAATATTATATTAAATATTTATAAACTTAATTTACCGTCATTCAATTTTATTGCGTATGTATTTAAGAATAAAAAAATTTATCGCTTGAGAATAATAATTACGTCATAATAAGTGATTAGTTTTAAAAATTTTTTTCATTAAAAATCTATTAGAATTTTTAAAAATAGCAAAAAAAAAAAAGAGTATAGGATAACAATTTAAAATGTCATTAACGAAACTTCATAGATTCTTATCTTCAAATAAGTAATTACACAAATTATATGTAATAAACTATAACTAACGAGATTTAAAGCTCATTATCTCCTTATCATTACTTAAAGATTATCTTAATGATCAAACTTAAAAAAAAAAAAATACGTATTGTAAAACTTGCGTTGAAGCCATTAGAGAATAGAATTCATTTTTAAAGTATATATTAAAGCATGCTATTGTTATAGATTAAAAAAACTTTATCAAATCGTACGATTTTACTTTCAAGCCGTCAGCATTTTCGTCACAAGGAAAATTAACTCCACGTTTATTTCTTCCCACTTACCGGTTGTGAGTTTAATAAAATTTAAAAGCAAATAACAAAAAATTAACTGTCAGCGAATAAATTGCTGTGTGCGTAAAGTAATAAATTTCTTTTATCGATTATAAAAACATAAAAAAATTCAATAAATAAATTTCTTCATGCAATAATTTATAAAATAACAATAAATCACGCACCACAAAAAGACGTTGATAAACAAAAGCTATCCTTTTTTTTTTTCTCAGTTGGATTAATACATAACTGTACAGAACTAAACTCAGATGTATCGATATGAATCCCAGGTGGGATTTGTTGTTGCTCGTTAGACTGTCTCTCCATGACTACTACCAATTTAAGTCTGAAGCCCCTATAAGTATGTAATATAAAGGCCTATACCCTCCCTTCTGTAGGTATACATTATACAGTACATAGGTATATGGTTTACCGCCATGTACTGTATGCGTAGACTTAAAATCAATAATAACAATATTAGCGATAATATTAATTCATATTATATTATATTACCCCGATTAAAATACGTCAGATCGTTGACATTAAGGACCTGGTCAATTTCATTTGATTGATTTCTTCTTTCAATAGGTCGTTGGACCTTTCTCAGTATGCACGTTGATGCACTGTAATTATTTAACGTACACTCCATGTCACCATGTGCAAGTGGACTAGACGCATTATTTTATTATTCATTATTTTTTATTTTACCATTATTGCTATTATTGTTATCATTATTATAACTTAACAATACAATACTTGAATAATAATATGGTTTATATTCGAGTTACTTTTTCCGTCAAGGACTGCGTTTAGTTGATAACAAATAGTCAGCAATTTATTTTGTTTATTTTTATTAGTGTTAGAATTTTTTTTCTTTCTAAATAATAATTATTTTTATTTGCTTACATAAATATTGTTATTAAAATTTTATTACTGCCTTTTAATTCAACACTACTCTAGATATTTTCAAATAATTAATTTGAATTTTTTATCGTCTTCTTAAGTTTCAATTGTTCATTTTTTAATTTTATAATCTGATATAAATTTTAATTTATTCAATAATAATAATGAATTATTATTAATTAAAATATAAAATTTAATTTAATTATTTTTTTTTTCCAGAAGAAGAAGAAAAAAAATGTATAACCGAATAAGGAAAAAAATAGATTGGGATAAATTTGTTTTTCGACGCGGAAGCGAAAAAAAATATTTAAAAATTATGTCAGAGGAAAAAGTGAAGAACCAAAATAATACATTTAAGAAAAATACAACAATCATGAAGGTAGAGTATGTGTAAGCTGAACACGTGAACTAGGATTTTATAAATATATCCACTGAGAGAGTGAGAAGACTACGTATACTCCAGCTCTCTACAACCCATCGGGTTCCGTGCACCAAAAATAATCAGAACGAATACGAATGGCTGTAGCCGATGTTTTACTGGTGGTCAAAAAGCAATGACAATGATACATTGTCGATCAAAAATACCAGTTATTCTAATTAACTTTCATTAATTAAGTTATTATTAATAAAGTTATTGATGATAAAAAAAATTTAGTACGTTGTGTTGTTATTTATTATGTATTATCTGCTGAGATACTTTTTTTTACTAATAATAGCCGGTGTTTGTCTCGCTCGCAACGCACATATGTAAGTAAATATATATAATTCCCTTTTATTTATAAAACATTCATTGAAAAATAATAAATTTTTTTTATTTTATTATTTTAGCGTCAATCGGTGGGCAGAAAATCTCGGTTCTGAATTATGGGAACTAGCAAATGCTGTCGCTCGTCCAGATGAGCTCAAACTCGTACGTCACATTATTTTTTTATTGGACCTGTAGTGATAAAATAATAGTAAAATTAGTTAACGTTACTCTTAATCTTAAATTGTTTTTTTTTTTTTCTGGTTGCAATATTTATAATGAAAAAATTAGAGAAGAAAAGATTAGTGATTGCCAATCATAATTATAAAAAAAATAATTTTAATTGACCTTATCAATTAGTATGTCACGAAATTAATTAATCATCTCGGGGTTAAGAGCGATGGAAGGTCATCAGACCATCAATTATTTTTTTTCGTTACTAACAAAAATAATAAACATACGATAATTATTAATTGTTTGCCGCGTACTTAGCTACGCACTGCATAAATATACTATAACATTTTTATTGTTATTATTTAATACTATTTTTATTTAATGTTCACTTTTAGAAATACAAACTAATGAATGCACGTGTTGAGGATAAATCCGGAGAGGAACTTATCGATATTATAAGTGAGAGCGTAGGACGTATGCTAAGACGTAAAATGGATGCAGTTAGATGTATTCTCAAGGTAGCTGAAGATGCTGCCGAAGAATACAATACTACGGCAGCTGGATTTAATATCACGTATGTGTCGGGTAAATACAGCACGATTGAAGATGAAGATCCTCCAGATATTCCTAAAAATATGAGAAAAAATGCTTCTATTTACAGGTATTTTATTTATCAATAAGATCTTAATTTACAAAGTTATTAATAATTAATTATTTAATTCGGTCCGTAGGAGAATAGAGTTGAATCCAGACTCTCACTTTTATAATATCCCAGTGAATACAAATTTTTCGTCAGTACACATCCCTACAAATGTTTACGACCTTTCACCAACAGTAAAAAATACAATAAAATGGTCAGAAGCTTTGAATGACGTATTTCGCCAAAATTACCGATCAGATCCAGCGTTATCTTGGCAATACTTCGGCTCGATGACAGGAATTCTCCGGCAGTATCCCGCTATGCAGTGGAAAACGACTGAAAATGATCTTGATGTACCAGATCTTTACGACTGTCGAATTCGCAGTTGGTACATTGAAGCGGCTACTTGCAGCAAGGATATGATTATCCTTGTAGATGCCAGCGGAAGCATGGAAGGAATGGGTTATACTATTGGTTAGAGTTTTTGCTACGTCATACTATCTAATTTTATTTTTCTATAAATAAGGAATTGTTAATCATTTGGTACTGAAATGGAAATAATTATGATTACAGCTAGAGCGGTCGTTAATTCTATTCTGGATACTCTTTCAAACAACGACTTTGTTACTATTCTACAATACAACAACGAAACAGACCATGTAGTTCCGTGTTTTGAAGACAAGCTTATTCAAGCAACGCCAGAAAATTTAGATACATTCAGAGAATATATGAAAGACTTGGATCCTCTAGAGAATGCTAATTTGACGGATGCGTTTACACGTGCATTTGGAATTTTGAAGTCGTATCGCGAGACTCGAGGATGCGGTCCAGAGACACCTTGTAACCAGCTTATAATGCTTGTCACCGACAATGTTGCTTCAAATATATCCGAGGTCATTATTAATCATAATTCTTATCACTATCATTATAATTATATAATTGTTACATTCTAGTGTGACCGATCACGCGACAGTTTTTATTTAATGAATCATATACTTATTTATTTTTATATTCGTCTATTGATTTTTTATCAGCTTTATCATTGGCTTTTGTTTTTGTTATTTTTTATATTAGTAATTATTTGTTTTGACAAATAGGTTTTTGATTTGTGGAACCGACAAGAAAATGGAACACGTATTCCAGTGCGTGTCTTTACATATTTACTGGGAAAAGAGGTCACTAATGTACGTGAAATACAATTGATGGCATGTGAAAATCGCGGATATTACACACATGTCCATACTCAAGAGGAAGCGCAAGAACAAGTACTCAAATACATCCCAGTAGTTGCACGACCTTTAGTTCTTCAAGGTTACCATCATCCAGTTGTGTGGACTCATGCTTACACTGACGTTTCGGTAAGAATTTATAAAATGTACTGATGTCCTGGCGCGACAATGAGTTGCGGAATACGTATTTATATAATTCTTCAAGCGATTCAGTTAATTTAATTGATTATGCTATTAACAGAAAAAAATAACTCAATGAACACGAACTATCATCTTAAAAAAAATTATGTTAGTAATAAATTTATATTATTATTTATTATAATATTAGTATAAAGTAATTCGTAGAATTGAGTCTTGCGTGCATTGCGCGTGTCAAAAAAAAAAAATAATAAAACGACTATAATAAGAATGACGACAGACCACCGCATAAGGGAATTGAATTACAAGATAACAAGCAATTTTATGTATCATAATCAAAAGCTAAATTTTTTTTATCATAAACTTTTGACGCAAGTTGAAGAAAAAAAAATATTTACTTAAAGATTTTTTTTTTTTTTTAATTATTCAACTAATTATTTTGTTTTATTGTATTATAACTTATTTTAATAAGTAAGAAAAATAAATAAATAAATCCCATTAGAATCCAGCACTTGCCTCGTGGCTGTGGCTGGTGATGGACCACCCGGAGCAAAAGTCACGGCTGCAGAAGTACCTCGAAGGGAAACGTGAAGGCGTGAGAATAAATGAAGATGCCATCTACATCAAGCAGGTTTTAATTAATTACCCCGAAAGATTTGTTTGTCCAAGTGTATTTTTGACACATCCTTTTAGGTGCACACACGCTTGGTGGTTTAGATAAATAACTAGTTATCACAGCTCCTTAATTTATTAATTTACCGTTAGATTAGATTAAATCCTTTCTAACGTAATGATTTTTTTATTCCACGCACTTAATTAATTTCCAAAGCACACAGAGTTACATCTCAAAATAAGTACGATTAAGATTTCCATTGGTTGTAATGTTATAAAAAATTAATTTTTAATCAATTAATAGTGATAATAAACATTTATATTTCACAGCGAGCAAAGGGTGAAGATCCACGACTGGATGCGGGACTTTTTAATTCAACTTTGTGGCAAGAGTACCGGCTCCTTACGTCAGTAAGTATCCCAGTTTTTGATCGAAAAGGAAACCGTAATAACGAAACAAAACAAGCAAATTTACTGGGTGTTGTTGGTACTGATGTCCCAATCGAGTCAATACAAAAGCTAACATTACCATTCAAACTTGGCGTTAACGGCTACGCATTTATCGTCTCCAATAATGGGTACGTAATATTACATCCTGATTTACGTCCAGTTAGTGAAGGAAGATTAAAGCGCAACTACAATAGCATTGATTTGTCGGAAGTTGAGATACTCGATGACGGACGGAAGCCTAGGTAAATTAATTGTTATTGATAATTATTTATTTAAAAAAAAAAAAACAATCAATTACGGGTTTTTTTTTTGTCAATTTTTAGGGATCCAGGACCGGAAATACTTAATTTACGTCAAGCTCTAGTGGATCATCAGTATGGAAGTATGAAAGATGTTCCTGTTAAATTTCACTATGATGACAATAGAAGAGTTATGTTAGAAAAACGGGATTATTATTTTGCACCATTACCTGGCACGCCGTTTGGTATTGCCGTTGCGATTCCTAATTACGGAAAAACTTGGATCAAGGTAATAATAAAAATCTAATTTTACAAATTAATTAATTAATTAATTATTTTTGAAGTAATATTTGTTTAAATTTATATTATTCAACACACCAGGTTACTAATGAGATTGAAAAAAACCGTCAAGCAGGAATTAATGTTTCTGATTTTTTTTTAAACGACCGTTGGAGAGTACATCCAGGCTGGGTTTACTGCAGATATCATTATCTAGAAGGCCACGAGTTCCCGAGTCCTGAAGCAGAAGTCCGTTACTTCCTCGGGCGACTCGGTCAGCCTGGTTGGAAATGGTCTGATCAGTACACGGCTTATGATATTAGTATGGAAGAAGAAGAAGAACCAGACTGCGGAAGACAAGTTTTGGAAGATGATGATTACTACTGCAATGAAGAACTTATGCAGCTGCTGGTATTTGATGCGAAAGCCACCAATCAAAGTTACTCTGGAGATTTCAGGTACAAGGATGAGGACTCTAAAAGACTTGCGGAACTTTACAAAGTATTTTTGAGATTCGTGGCAACGCAGAGTGGCTTAACAAAGTGGCAGTACATTGAGTCGGACTATTTAAAGGAAGTTAGAGATCAATTGGAGTTTGGTGATCTTCATAGACGCGCTGTTAATGAACCATGGTACAAGGGAGCTATTTTTCAACATCAAATCGATCCAAACAGTATTTTACTGACAGGTAATTTCAATAAATTTTTTTTTTTTTTTGGTTTTGTTATTTCTTCATTTTATATTTTTTTTAATTTTTAAATTTAGTACCTTGGAATGCTGGACCTGAAGCTACAGTAACAGCTTCAATGGCAATATTTCCCCGTGACGGAGGCAAAAATGCATCAGCAGCTGTCGTTGGTTTTCAAATGCCCATGACGGCATTCTATCAAAGATTCATAGATATAACTTCAGTAACAAGTAATCCCGATATGGATTGTTCGCACGCTTGGATAGACTGTTACCTAATCGATCAAAATGGGTTTGTTGTCGTATCAGAAGCACACAACGACACTGGTCAATTTTTGGGTGCTGTCGAGGGTGCCGTTATGAAATCAATGGTTATTCAAGGTTTTTACAAAGCCGTTGAAATTTACGACTATCAAGGTTTATGTAAAACAATTGTATGTTTATCAATTTTTTTTTTTTTTTTTTTTTCAATTATCTTATTTAGTTTTTTGGTATCAAAAAATGATAATTTTTATCCAGGCGCTCGAAGGTGCAGCAAGTTTTTTGAGTAATCCTTTTACCAATATTTACAATCTCATTACTTGGTTTTTTGTACGTACACTCTGGATAATGTCGCAGTTTGTAAATATACCCGAGACATTTGCAAGGGTGCATTCGGACGAAGATCTACCGGAGAAACCAAAGCCACCGCATGAAATAGAAGTACCATTTTCGTGTGATTTAAAGAGAACTCTGTATATTATGAATCAATCGTTGGCTGTGAATCAGATAACTAATACACTAGAACAGTGTTCACGCCCGTTTTTCGCTCAATTAGTGAGTATTTTTTTTTTTATTTTATCTTGATGTTGATTAATAAATTATTTTATAAAATTTAAAATATTACAGGTACCTAATACAAATCTTCTTCTCGTAATCGTCGACACATTGTATCCCACGTGTTACGAGCGCTTAGAAGTACTGCCCGTTCAAGTAGACCCCAGTGAATATACAAATGACACTGAACCAGAACCATGTCACAAGAAAAAATTAAACGATTTGCCTCGAAGACGTCTTGAGAAATGTTTTACCGAGCACCCAGAGGAAGATGAAATAGACCAATGTGGACGAGGAACAAGACTGCATAATTCAATTCATATTAATATATTATTATTATTATTTATTCTAGTCACTCTTAAAATTATTTTGTAAGCCCTTGCGAGTGGTAAATTTTATTCAAACTAAATTTAAAAAGTATTTTTACTTAAAATTATATTGACCTCAGTTGAAATTTAATTTTATAATTAATTATTAACTGTAAGCTTTTTATGTTGATCCGATCATCTGCGCTGTCCCCTGCGTAACATTTGTTGTATCTATCAGCTGTGCTCTTCAGTAAAGAAAAGTTACACGAAATACGTCGGACATCCCCCAATGCATATTGTTACACGCGCAAGCTCGGAAAAACCGACCCCGTGATCGATAATGGAGTTGGGGAGGCCACACCGTGCTCCTCATTCTGTCATATCACTGTTCAGTTAATACAAGTCACACATAAAATATCTCCAGTGCTCTTTTTTCATCATAACATTTATCATTATTCTTATTCTTATTCTTATTATTAAAATTAATATTACTACAGTTTTTTAAAATTTTATCATCACTGTGGTAATTTTATTAAAATAAAATATTAGTTTAATTAAAAATAACTAAAAAAAAAAAAATAATCAAAGTGGTTATCAGCAGAGGGATGAAGGAATGCTTACTGCCCATTTTATTTGTTCTAATTGTATTTTCAACTCCAGGAGAAACCGATATCGTCTCTTTTGCTGCGTAAGTTACGGTGTATATGATTTTTATATCGCATTATAAAAAGAAAAATGTAACACGAATTATTGTAAATAACTAAGTGATTGTAAAACTTGTTGTGATTGTGGTGCTACTGATATATTTTAAGTAGATTATCAAGGGATTACATGACACGTGATCAGTGAAATTCTTAATATAAAAAAAAAGATCTAAGTTTATATCATACTGACAATTTATTATTTTTATAATAGTCACAAACTCAATGTTTTGATTTCCAGTTTCTATTTTTATAAATACTCATTAACTGCGTTGTATTTTTTTGACAGTGTGAAGACATGGGCGCACAAACTTGGCTTCGAACTCTCACAGCTGGGAAAATACGTGACGAATGTTCAAAAATTCGAAGAGAGTTACAAACAGGCTGACGTTAAAGCACATGATGGCAGTGCTCTTGTCCATGAGATTGCCAAAGATATTAAAGAAATGATGGAGTCTAAAATATCAGCCATTAGAGTAAATATATTTATTTATTTATTTTTTAAATAAAATCAATTGCTAATTACAATTATAATTATAATGTTGATTTATTTGCAGAGAATAATGGACATAGCAGAAACATCAGCATTGTCAAATAACGATGCAGTACCTGGGCAAGAATTCCAGTATGTCAACGCGAAGAATAATTCTATTGAATATGAATTCAGTCGACACTTTGGTGGCGAAGTAAATGTCACTAAATCAGCAGTGCATGTGCCGACAAATGTTTACGATCGCGCGCCAGATGTAATCAGAGCGATAAAGTGGTCTGAAGAACTGGATCAAACGTTTATCAATAATTATGAACATGATCCTTCAATATCGTGGCAATATTTCGGTAGTGTTACGGGTTTCATGCGTCAATACCCAGCGACAACGTGGAATCCTAAGCCAGTTGACTTGTTTGATTGTAGGACACGTGGCTGGTACATTGAAGCTGCCACAAGTCCTAAGGACATTTTAATATTAGTCGATGTGTCGGGTAGTATGACTGGAATTCGACGCGAAATAGCGCGACACGTGGTCAATAATATTTTAGACACACTCGGGAATAATGATTTCGTAAACATTATTCTATTTTCCAATGAAACTCATGAGGTAGTTCCCTGTTTTAATGATACTCTTGTGCAAGCTAATTTGGCGAATGTTCGTGAATTGAAAGAAGCTATAGAAACTATTAAAACAGATAGAATCGCCAATTTTTCACTTGTATTGACGCAATCGTTTAGATTACTCGAGCGTTTTCGATTAAATAAAGAAGGAGCTGCTTGTAATCAAGCGATAATGCTTATAACTGATGGAGTACCATATAATTACAAGGAAATATTTCAAGAGTGGAATTGGAATAGTACCGACGAACCAGACAAAATTGATATGCCTGTAAGAGTGTTCACTTATTTGATAGGTAGAGAAGTTACTGATGTCAGAGAAGTTAAGTGGATGGCATGTGCTAATAGGGGTTATTATGTGCATTTGTCTACTTATGCTGAAGTTAGAGAGCAGGTATAATTAATAGACTGATTTTTTTAACCTTTTCCAATAATTATTTACAATATTAACGAATAAATTTTTAATTATTATATTTTTAGGTATTAAATTATGTACCAGTAATGGCAAGACCTCTGGTATTACGCAAAGATGATCATCCAACTATATGGACACCAGTATATGCAGATATAACTGATCCCAAAATGACAGATTGGCTTTGGGAACAGAAAGAGTGTGAAAAACAAAAAGAATTATTCTTAGCTTATCGTAGAGATAGAAATTTATTCAATTCTAAAGATCAGAGAGATCGTCGGTTTGCTCATAAACCTAAAAAACAGTATCATGATCATCAAGATCCTGATTTACAGGAGTATCAATTGATGACATCTGTCAGTATTCCTGTATTTGATCGGAGGAAAAATGCGGTAAGATTTGTTATAATTATTATCATTGTTTAATGATAAAAAATAAATTTTAATGAGAATAATAACCAAAGGATGGATGAATGAAAGTGAAAGAATTATAATTATTTATAATTAAAGATATAAAAATGAAGAGATAGATATAAATAATTTGAAGAATATTTTGTTTGTATGCAAGTCCATATTTGTCCACAGAATATCACCGAGATGGTACTGATTAAAGAAGCTTACTGGGTGGCTCAGACAAGAGAGGTTGGCAGCCAAACAAAAAACAACATTTTTTATTTTTTATTTTTTATTATATACATATATGCATAAACGTTCCCTGTCAATTTGAGAATCTTGGATTTTATTTTTCATTTTCATAGATATGGCGTGTAACCGACGAGCCTATAACTGTTCTCTCCTGTAATTAATGTCTGATCTACACTGATAACTCAAATTTATTTTATTAAAACTGATAAAAACAATATGAAAAAGAGTCACGAAAATTTTTTAAAGGAATGAGGATCGTCGGCTACTTACGTTAATTATTTTATAGGTCTACGCTCGTCTTTCTGCTATCTTTTTTTTATTTTTTTTTTTTATTTTTTTTTTTTTTATTTATTTATTTATTTAAATTAAATTTAAAATTAGTTATTTGTAATTAGGTAGGTTTAGGATTACAAAGCTAGTGATACCCGTTGTCAACGAGTAGAAGGTCCTGCCTGGATACTATTGGATTGAAGAGCGAATATGATATTTATTTTTAAAAAGCTCGAAGTGATGATTGATTTTGCGAAATATTAATACATAATAAATATAAATAACGCAACCTTTAATGAATCACACTGATCGTAAATAAATAATAAGTTTTTATAAATGACTGATTGTTAGAAGTATTAGAATAATTTTAATTAATCTTTAATATACACATTAAGTTTTATAATGAGAGTGTCATTAAATAGATTTATTAATAATAGGATAGCGTCTGCTAATGATTTTAAAAAGTTGATATAAAAAGTAGATATTTATGTAATTAAGTATATCGAATTATTTTTAGTATTTATTATTATTAATTAATATTAAACGTACTACATTTAGTTTATTTTTAAATAGACCAGTCTTAGATTTATTGTAATAATAGTTATTCATTAATATTAATTACCGTAGATTTGCTTAAACTAATAACACATGTAATTAAACAGTTGTTTTTATAGTTTAGTAATTTTTTTATTTTACTAATCTTTCAATTATAATTCCAGAGTAGAGTTGCTAATTTGCTCGGAGTCGCTGGGACGGATGTACCGATACAAGAAATCCAAAAACTTATGATGCCACATATGGTAATTTTTATTTAAATTATTATCTGAAATTTAGCGTTGAAATATTATTTGTTTAATTTTAATTACAGTTGGGCGTTAATGGGCATGCTTTTATCGTAACTAACAATGGTTACGTTCTCATCCATCCCGATCTTAGGCCAGTGGTAATTATTTTTTTATTTTACAAACAAATTACTTAGAATAAAAAAAAAAAATTAATGAGAAAACTTTGATTAAAGTTTCAAGGTATACTAAAGCCATCATACAATGCTGTCGATATGGCTGAAGTTGAATTAATGGACTCGGGTAGAGGTCCACGTGAATTCGACGAAGGTATATTGACGGTAAGTATTTTTATTTATATTTATCAAATTAATTATTTATATGGAAGTTTAATTAATTGAATCATGTTTAAGTTCCGGGACGAGGTTATTGATCAGTTGAACGGCAGTGTAATACTACACACGAAATATCACTACGACGACATGGTAATTTCAATATCATTAATATTCATACTATGTTTATTTTATTGATTATTTTTATTAGATAACTATATTGTGTGATGGTTTAATGGATGCGTTGTTATTTTTAGAAACGAGTCGGGAGAGTTAAGAGAAAATATGATTACACTGCTATTGATAATACGCCCTTTACATTGGTGGTTTCTTTGCCAGAACACGGTCACGGTAGCTATCGTGTTCATGCCACTGAAGAAATACATCGCGCTCATGTTAATGGTATTAGATTAATTACTTTAACCCCAATTACAAATCACAAAGCCGGGTAATTGATAAATAAAATGATTAAATTAAATAATTTATTTTATTTTAGGACAAAATGCGACAGATTATTTTGCGGATAGCAACTGGCGGATACATCCAGATTGGATCTATTGCAAGTAAGTTCATTATATTTAAAGGTACCACTGACTTGAAAAATATTTTATAAAATTTTTCAATATAATTAATTACAGGTATCATTATGAAGATGCACATAAAGATAAATACAATTCTTCAGAACAATTGCTTGTGCATTTTTTGACACGTACCCGCCAGCCGGGATGGTTTTGGAGCGACAGAAAGTTGCCATCTCAACCACCGGAATATTCTGTCTCTGGTTCTGCTAGTTCAGGATCACATTGTAAGAATTTTAATTATTTCTAATTTATAAAAAAAAAAAAAAAAAAAAAAAAAAAAAAAACTAATAAATTAATTGAATATTATTTCATTTTTTAGCTAATCCAAATACTTCGGATAAAAATTCATATTACTGTGATAGAGTACTTTTACAAAGTCTGGTTCATGATGCTAAGGTAACCGAATGGTTTGCAAATATCAACCAGACTCGCGAAGAAAAAGGGTAAGAGTTAAAATAATTAATGTAAAAGCACTTCCGCGTTTATATATTAAGAATTTTTTTTAAAAACAACCTGCAATTATTTAGATTAATAAACTGAAATAGTGACAAAAAAATCATGTTAACTCGGAAATAATGAGTAAGGACAGTTTGGAGTCCCATCAAACACACGTCATTAAAAATTAACAATTTAATAACGACGTGGATATTTGAAATAATATTTCAATTCAATATTATTATGAGTAACACACTTTTTATTTTAAAATATCGAATAGTCATTAATACACTAGAATGCACTTTTATTTACTAATATTTACAACTTTAACGCCATGCAGACCTTTAGCTAGGCTGATGAACCTCCTGCCCAGGTAACGCCTTCACATCGCACCTTATGTTTTTTAGTAATAATTTATCTTTATCATTAATAATTATTTATTCCTATAATGAGATCGTTACCCAAATTTCCTAACTCCCTCAAACAAAATTTCTTTTTAATCCATCATTATCGTTTTACTCCCAATTTCTTGGATAATGATCAATCTTCGATTGACTGAAGTACATGTATTATTTTACATCAGCACTCCATTATAAATATTATTTTCGTATAGAGGGTCCACCGCAGATAGGTTTCAAGTGTTTTTACAGGCTCAATAACCAAGTGATTCGGAAACATAATACAACTACCAAAGAAGCTAATTCATTTTATATAGTAAATATGTATTGGATTAATTGATTGATTGATGTATTGTAATTCAGTTAATTCAACAATCCTCATTTCACAACAGACAACATTAATTCGACATTGAAAAATAAATTTATCAATTACTGATTTTATAAATTAAAAAATAAGTTCGTTTGTTTAATATGAATAAAAACTAATATTAGTTTCTTTGTAGGAAACAATTTCAACAACGTTTCGGATTTACACTTGCATTTATGGCAACTCACAGTGGCTTAACCAGATGGCAAGATTTTCCATTGGATGACTCGGAAGAATCTGCAACACCACCCAATGAACATTTTAGCAGACTATATCCGCGTGCTATTGATGAAATTTGGTACAAGCGTGCTGTTGAGCAATACTATGTTCAACCAGACAGCTTTGTATTCTCGGTGCCTCTTGATGAAGAAGGAGCAGACAACACAACTCTCGTCACGGCTAGTCGAGCTATTTTTATAGGTAATTTATTAATCTATGTTTCAATAATTTTATTGTCATGATCATGAAAAAAATTTTTTTTTGATTAGGTCAAGGAAATACCAAAGCTCCAGCAGCGGTAGTTGGATTTCAATTTCAGCATACAGCTCTTCGAAAACTTTTTCACAATATTACATCGACTTGCGACAAAGCAACGAATTGTCCTCGTAATTGTAATGACAGCAGCTTAGCTTGTTATTTGATTGATAATAATGGATACGTTATAGCTTCGAAACTTGAGGCAGATGCTGGAAAATTTTTTGGTCAAGTTAGAGGTCCTGTAATGAATAGCTTAGTTGATGAAGGTATTTTTAATAAAATTAGAGTATATGATTATCAAGGTGTGTGTTTTAAACAAATTGCAAATCCAAATTGCGGTAGTGCACTTTTTACGGTAAGAATTTTTTTCTATAAAAATTTATTTTATTCTTTAATAATTGAATAATTGAAATAATGATCAATATTTTGCAGCCCATAAGAATGATGCAAAAAGCTGCAAGTTGGTTGCTGGCTCAATTAGTATGGACATGGGCTAAAGTAGGATTTTGGCAATCTGATTATGCGTATGGACATACTTTTGATTATGAAAGTGAAGAAGAACATAGTCATAATGATTATGAAGATCATGATGACAGATCGTCAGAAGACAAAGGGGAAAAAACTTATGACGATCGAGTAATTATAAATAGAACTAAACCGCAATCTTGTGATAAAGAAGTTTACCTTTATTTATTGAAAAACGAGTCAACAAAGGTTTATGACGTCGACCTAGACACGGGTAAAGGGTGTACTCGACCATACGTTGTACAACCGGTTGATTTCAGTAACATGTTATTAATAGTCGTCGATTTAAATTGTCCTAATACAGCAGAGCCGTATGTGGATATAGAACCTGTAGAAGTTATTTATTTCAATACCACACTGGCTTGCCAAAAAGCATCTACAAATATGAAACGGCGAAGACCGTTGTCTTGTATCAGAAACCATCCTCAAGAAAGTGAAATAAAAGATCAGTGTGGTCTCGCGTCGACGATAAGACCTAATTCAGGTCTTCTTATAATAACTATTATTTCGGTAATTACCATCACGAGGCTAATACGTACTTAAACATTTTTATTAATAATTATAATAAGTTTAATTATAAAATTAGATTTATAACTTTCCACAAACGGTTCAGAGCCGATGTCAAATTTTTGATAAGGTAAAATTAAATTTAATTGAACTTATATTTATTGCGTCGATCGCAAAAAATATTAGTTGTTAAATTCGGATCCGAGTGCTTTTTGAATAAAAAAAAAAAAAAATATAAATATATATTAATAATAATTGTTCAAAAAAATTAAACGTCACGGTTTAATTAAATTAATGATGTACAGCGTAAAATATAAGTATTCTATAGAATAAAATTTACAAATTGTTGCACGTATTATGTATAAAAAAGGAAGTAATTTTGTGAACGCTAATGTAACTGTTAATTTTCTTACAAGAGTATATTATTAATTATAATTAAATTAAAATAATAGATAAATAAGAATAAAAATAGTGATTAATAATAATTAACAAATTTAAAGTCCGCCGGGTATAAACCTGGTGTTTTTGTTAATCAAAGTACTTTAGTGTACTTATAAAAACAAAATTAATATTAATAATAACGATGATTAAACAAATCCTTCAATACTAAAATTTAAATGGACCATTAAATGGATATTCAATCAATTAAAAGGAAAAAATGAAGATTGTACAGAATTTAAATAAAATTCCGTAAGTTTCTTGTTAATTAATGAATTAACTAAAGTATTAATAAATACATTTGTCACTTTAACTAATATTTCATCACGAGTTCATCGGATATTGCATTATCAAATCAATAGATAGGATTTTATAATAATATAACTTTAAATAATATTAAAATCAATTATTAAATAAATAACTACTTATGTTGATATTCTCACTTTGTAAATTCATCGATTTGAGATAACTAAAACTTAATTATTCTTATGATAAATAATTAAATAACAACTAATGTTAATTTTGTAAATTAATGTATCATAATATTTAAAAGACGGTATGTAAAATTGTGTGCCTTCCATTTAAAATTATGTGCGGCACGCGGTTAAACGATAATCTTGTTGTATGTTTTTCAAAATAAATCATTGGATCCTATTGTTGTAAATTAATTTAATAATTAACTACGCTATCAATACTATTATAATATAATAAAATATAAATTTTTAATTATAAATTAACGACTTATTTATTTAAATTTACCTTATGTACAGCATTAAATAATTCATCACTATTTACACTTCTCAATAGCTTCTTGTAAAACTTTAAGCTGGAAATGATTTTGTAGCTTCTCCTGTAGATCTTTCAAGTCTTCACCACCTTCCATAAAAACCTTCAAATTATGCATCGTGCCATTACTTATCCGATGATCCGTAATACGATCTTGACTGAAGTTATAGGTACGTATTTTTTCATTCCTTTGGCTCATACCGCGTTGTTTTTTACGCATTGCAGCGGTCATTGATTTTTGGTCATTCAATTGCATTTCATAAAGTTTTGATCGCAATTTAAGTAACGCTATCCTTTTGTTTTGTATCTGAGTCCGTTCAGACTGCGCTTCGACAGCAATTCCCGTTGGAAGATGGACAATCCTTACAGCAGACTCAGTTTTATTGACACTCTGACCACCAGCACCAGTAGAACGTTTTGTTTCTATTTTCAAATCTTTCTCCGGCAAATTGACTTCCAGTTCTGTAGGTTGTGGTAGCACAGCAACAGTAACTGTAGACGTATGCACTCTGCCAGCTCGCTCTGTCGCTGGAATTCTTTGAACCCGGTGAACACCACCTTCATGTCTCAGTAATTCGAAAGCACGATCACCAGATACTAAAATAGTTGCGTGTCTTATTCCATCGATTCCGCTTTCTTTGTCAACATCCAGTGGCTGGTAAGTGAAACCCAGGTACTCAAAGTATCCTTGATACATTTTAAATAAATCAGAACAAAATAACATTGCTTCCTGACCACCTACACCAGCTGTTATCTCAAATATAACATCTCGACAGTAATCTTTACCAATATTATCGGCTAGTGCTTCTAATATTTCTTCATCTAGTTTATTCAAGCTTTCTTGATATGCAGTGAACTCATCTTGGCCTAACTTTTTCATTTCTTCGTCATTTTTCCCTATAAATTAACCCAATATATTAATTAATTATTCATTAAACATATTGCCTTAATTAGTTGTAAATAAGTTATAAAAAAGTAAGTTACCAAGTTCTTCAAGACTTTTAATATTTTCTTCAATAAGTATCCTGTTGTCTAATAAAGTAACTACCTCTCTTTGCTTAATAATTGCAGTCAGCATCTCGTCATCTTTTAATCGGAGTTTATAGCTTTCGGTAAGAGATGTTATATATTTTTTAATATTTTTTTCAGGCAGCGCTAAATTTACTTTCGTACAAAAAGTATTGCATTCTAAACTTCTACCATTAAGGTTAATGTTTAAATTCATCCTCGAATTATTTAAATCTAAAATTTCACGGGACCAACGTCGTCCAAATCTCCATCCATGTACAAAAAATAACATTTTTGTAAATTATTTATTTATTCAGCAGTTACTGTAAAAAAATAAGTATCAATTTAAAAATATAAATTCCAATGTCAACAACTTTTATTTTTTTTTTTTATCATATCTATAAAATAGTTATTACTTACCCACAATTTAAAGTTTGTTAATAGAAAAAACAATTCTCTTTAATATTTTTTTTTCGTGTTATCATTTGATTACTTAATTTTATATGAGTAATTTATCAAAAAAACATTGTTAAATTTGTCTAGAATAATTATTTTGCTCTTCGACTTTTTCATATTTCGTCCGTTTCAATTCCTTATTCTTCATTTTCTCTCATTCCTCCCTTCTAAGAAAATGTACAACTCGCGCTATTTTATTTGAAAATGTCGACTTTTGTTCCAGTTAAATTATTTACTTAAAATTAAAGTTTATTTATGTGGCTGAAAAAATATGCGTCGTTATAATTAAATTTTTCTGCCGTTAATTGTTTAGTTTATTATTCATTTAGAGAAATTAAATTTTCTACATCTCTCTTTTGTTTGTATTACGCAAATTATTATATGAGTACATAAATTTTATTAACCTAATTATCTTAAAGTTACACAAATTTACTCACCATTTATATTCTATAAAAAAAATTATTTATTAATGAATGATGAATTAGTTTTCATATAAAAAAAATGATTTAATAATATATTGGATGAATTAATAAGTGCAAAAATGAACAAATCATACTCATTACACTCGCAATTATTCGCTCCGAGCACAATTAATACACACATATTTTTTGTGAGTGTATTCAGTATCTGTGTATATCCGTGATTCATCAAAAAGTTCGACGTTTTTAGAAAGAGGTCGTGTCTTATGAAGAATTTCATGTAAAATATTCGTCATCTCAAGTTCCCAAAACTGTCACCTCAGGCGCTAGCTTCGATCTCCTCGGAGCGAACACATAGAATACAAAGAATTAAGGAATGGTGAAACCGAAATGGATTCAAACCTTTTGTTGGCCGTTCGAGTGTTTCACAAGCGCAGAATAACTTGCGCTGTTAACATACTCATTCCTTTATACTTATACATTACTTGAGGTAAAAAAATAAATGATAAAAAATCAACATTTATATCGTGCAACTTATGAAAATTTAATAGTAAATTCATTAAAATCATTCATTGCAATTCAATTGTAATAGACAAATAAACTGTTAGAGGAATTTTCGGTGAGTAAATTACAAAAAAATAAACTTTATTTTCACTCTCTTGTAAAATTAAAAATTTATGAATGCACAAAGTTATGTTTCTTTAAGATTCCTCATAATTTTTATTAATTGATTTGCGCTTCTGTTTATGTTTAGATTGTGATCCATTATCATAGAATTGGACAAAAATCAAATGCAAGACAATATGTTGGACGATGGTAATTTACATTTTTGTTTTAATTTTTATTTTTTTTATAATTATAAATTATTATATATGTATAATACATTATGCGCTACTATAGATAGTTATTAATACTCATTAAATTTTTCAGATTATGTAATTATATGAAAATTGAAGAAACTTTTTTTTATTAATTTAACTTTTAAAAACTACTTTTTGATAATTTTTTGATATATATTTCTACGTCATGCATTTTCAAAACTATATATATCTATACAAAGATATATGTATATATTTTTCCCCTTTTTTCGTTGACTCATTGAAAGTTTCTTACAATAGGTGTTGAGATAACTTATTGCATTAGTTTTTAATGACTCGTTTAAAGAAAAATATTTTATTTTTTTGCGAAGAATTAAAATATTGAGAAAAACATTTTAACTCAAATTTTTTTGTTTAAAAAAAAAAATTATTATTTTTTTAATTAAATTATTTGTGATAAAAAATTTTTTTCTATAAAATAACTAATTAATACTTAAAAAAAAATATAATTATTGATAAAAATTAAAATTGTCTATTTATAAACAGTTATAGATGATGGATTTGTATGGCAAGATTATCTGGATGCTACGGAGAGCATGGAAGTACCACAAATAATGTTTCCACATGTAGAATTAACTCTTCAAAGTGAAATTGAAATAGGAATGGCTCTTGAAGTTCCAACATCTAAAAGTACGAATGAAGAATGTTCATACTGGATAGCCACGATTGTTGTTGCCTGTGAATCCTTATTAAGACTGAGATACTTCGGCAGCGATGATAAATCACTTGAATTTTGGTTCAACCTAAAAAAAGAAACCGGCCATGAACTGGGATGGTGTCTGGGAAATAATAAAAAATTAGAGCCACCAGATGTAATTTTACAAAAATCTCCGGATTGTTTAGAAAAACTTGGAGATTTTCTAGGCTCTGCGAAATCAATACCTGTACAGGTGTTATCTGGGGTAAGTTATTGATCAAAGAAACCTTTATTAAATTATTTATTTATTTTTATTCTATTAAATTACATTGCTAATTTTATTTTCATTTTTCAGGAAGAACTAAGTATGGCTGATAGAATAAAACAAGGAATGAAGGTTGAAGTCAGTGATTTCTTTCATCCCTATAAATTATGGATTGCTACTGTAAGTACATCACATTTAACAGAATAATTATTAAATAAAAATTTCAATTTTTACAATATGTAATCAATATTATTATTATTATTATTATTATTATTATTATTATTATTGTTTTATATTTTAGATAATAAGAAATATTGGAGGACGACTTTTGCTACGCTATGATGTACCAAATAATTCTCAAGCACCAATTAAAGATTTCTGGGTATTTTGTACTTCAGATTCTCTCCATGAATTTGGTTTCAGTGTTCAATCAAACTCGAGTTGGTTTTTAGAACCACCAAGTTCGATAGTAGACACTCATACCTACGAAGAGTGGAAAGAGTTGATAGAAAGTGGACTACAAAATCAGCCAACATCATTGAATTTATTCAACAACACACAATCTCCTCCTCGTCATAAATTCACTATTGGTATGAAATTAGAGGCAGTTTGGCCTGCTACTCGCACCAAAATATCGCCAGCAACCGTAGTAAAAGTATTCGACGATTTATATTTCCTCGTTGAATTAGACACATTCAGTCCAAATAAGAAGAGTAATTGCTACGATCCGATGTATTCATATGATGAAAAAACCACATGGCTTTGTACAGCAAACCATCCTTACATATTCCCAGTAGGCTGGACTAAAGAACATGACTTGAAATTAACTGCTCCCAAAGGCTGGGGGTTGCACAATCCCAGTGAGTTTAATTGGGATGTATATTTGGCTGATACGTATACAACAGCTGCACCTAAAGAATTATTTTATTCACGAGAATCTGCAATTGAAACAGGCTTTGAAGTGGGTATGCATCTTGAAGCCGTTGATCCGATGAACGACAATAGAATTTGCGCTGGTCATATCAGCAACATCAGCGAAGATTTATTGTGGATAACACTTGACAATCATAAAACACGCGCTGTGCATGTTGTTCACATGCACTCACTGAAAATATTTCCCGTTGGTTGGTGTGAATCTAATCACTATCCCCTGAAACCACCAAGAGATTTTAAAGAAGTATGCAAAAAATTGGAAAGACCTGAGAAAGAAGACTTTAAGAAAACTACCATTGATTTACCCATACCCGAATCACGGTCCTCTTCGTGGTGTCCTAAAATTTATTTTAATTACCGTTGCTTCACGGGTCCAATGATTTCCAAAGGAAAACTTGCTAATTTACCCAAATCCGTGGGTCCTGGACGGGTTAATCTTGTGATGAAAGAAGTACTTTCAATGATTGTATCCGTTGGTTATCGTAGTGCTCGGATTTTAAAAGTTCTTCAATGTGATACCAAGCCTCAACCTGGTTATCATCTAGAAGTTTTAAAAGCCAAACATAAAAACAATACTTACCGTGCAAGTGTTGCTGTTGTTAGTTCTGGTGAAATGGTGTCAGAATTTTGTAGAGCTGTTTGCCAAAAATTAAGTGTCTGTCCCAATTTATTTGGCCCAAAACAAATTCCTGAGGATGACTGTCCTGATAGATGTAATCGATCAACTAAAACTAAATACTGTGAGTAAAATTTTATATTTTTATTACTGAAAAAATTCTCCATGAAATGCTAAAATAATTTTTTTTTTCTTTTAATTACAGTAATCGGCAAGCGAGGAAAACCTAAAGGATATACAAGTATTATGGAAGCTAAAACGAAACCTTGGGGTAAAAAACGACGCAAGAAACGTATTGACGGCAAACCAAAAAATTCACCTGAACCTGAGCAAGATGACGAGGTGCCTTATTCATCTACAGACATGCCTAAAGAAGAGATTGAAGACTTTGATAGCAAACCTTCTTTGTCTGAAACAGACGTAATGATTGAAAAAGATTTACACAAGTCGGACAAATCTGATGATATTAAAACTGAAGTTCCTTCAAGTAATGCTTCTGATGATTCTCGTAGCTCATTTAATGATCGCAAAAGCAAGAATAGTGCTGATAGTCCGATCAGTGATACAAATAAAAGTAAAAATAGCAATACTGTTACTAATAACAGTAATAAATACAATAAAGTAGTCAAAAATAAAACAAAAACAAAGAAACGTGAACGTCACTGGGAAGATTGTAATGAATCTGATAACACTGATCCTGATCCTGAAGCAGAGCAACCCAAACCAGCAGCTAAACGCCCAAAAATTCAAAAACTCAACACAAATCCACTATTTTGGAGTGTTGATGATGTATTTAGGTATCTTCGTAAGACTAATGACTGTAAAGATATTGCATACAGAGTTAAACAAGAGGTAAATATTATTTTAATTTTAAAAATTTATTGTTATTGTGTACGATTATTATCACTATTTTATATTTCATGGTCGACAATTTCGAATAATTAAATTCATTTGTTCGTATTACAGGAAATTGATGGCTTGGCATTTCTATTATTAAATTTACCTTCACTTACGGAGCATATGAAATTACGCACAAATATAGCAATGAAATTATGTCGACATATCGAACAAGTAAAGGTAACCTTTTTCTTGAAACACATCAACGAAGAGAAACAGGAAAAACATTAAAATTCAACTTTAATATAGTCAAGCATCAATGGCTTTAATAGGCAATCACTGATTAACTGATCAATTCTTTGTATATAAATAGTTTAAGTGTATTTTATCATTCCGTTACTATTTAGATTATTAAATACATAATTAAATATTATAACTTATTCGTAAGAGTAACATTTAGTATTAAATTATTGTACTGATTGACATACTTACGTATCTGTTAAAATATATTTATTATCTGTCTTAATAATTATTGATTATAATATAATTGACCATGCGAAATTATTGTGTACAGATAGATCTATAATAAATTATTTAAGTATACCAATTAATACTTTATTTCAATTTGTAAATTATATAAAATTAAATTTTTGTTTTTAATTTTATTTATCAATTAAAAATAATAATAGTGTAAGAGCAACTTTGTTCGAGAGAAAAATTATTGATTTTATTTTAATATAAAAAAATAACATAATATTTAATTTATTTATAAATAATGGTAATATTACCAACGGTTGGAAAGAGTAATTTACATATATAATTGTGTATAGAAATGGGAATACCATAAAAAAAATTAATAAATTTTGGTTTGATTAATATATGTATGTACGTGTAAACATATTAATGTAATTGCTGATAAAAAATTTTGTAATACAAAATAATATTTTAATTTGACTTTGTGTTAATACCTTATTATTTCTGTCAGGACCTAAGTTATGTCCGAGGAGAATTCTTTTTAAATAAAAATTTTCGACTTAGAGTAAAGATAATTATAAATGATCAGGAAGTTTTTTTTTTAAATAACTATAGATGAGAATAAAAAAAATTTTATTTTTTTGTATTTAAAATTGTTTAAAAAAAATATTAGTCACTTAAAAAGTTTGGATATGAGATAATATCTCTAATAATAACGGAAGTAATAAGGAAGTAGTATAAAGCATTGATTATCTATATGAGTTTAAGAACTATCAATAATATTAAAAATTCTAGGTAAAAAAAAAAACAAATGACTCAACAACTGTTTGTGTTTTTAAAATAAGAGTTTATCTTAACTACTGAAATTCCTCTTATAAATATTTAAACAATTGTACTTTCCTAAGCCATTGGACAATTGTAGATAATGATATTCGAATTCCCAAGACCAAATGATTCATATTTAAGCTAGGCGACTGATCAATTATCTCTATACCAACTTGAATATAAAAGCAGAAGACCGATGGGTCCTTCTCATTAAGAAGTTGAACGTATAAGAAGCAACTACCCAACTCGATATTCATTGGGTAAGAAGAAGAGATGAAGCGTTCAATATTCATTCTGCTGGCGTTAATCGCGATCGATGCATCTTTGAGTGAATGTAAGCGTAATAACTAAATTTATTGAATAATTTATGACTAAAAATTGTGTTTAATTTCTTCATTAATTTTTTTGCCAATTACTATTTCTTCTTCCGTGATTTAAATTTAAAAAATTGTTTATATTTATATGCAGTGATATCACCTCCACGACTAGTAAAGCAACCACCGAAGGATGAATTACTTTTTCAAGTAGTCCGACCTGATAAAGATCATAAGCCATTTGTTATTGAATGTGAAGCCGAAGGATACCCTGCTCCTGTGTAAGTAATTTTGTATATTAAATAACCATCAATCATTGATAATAATGTTTAAGGATTTATACTTACTCAGTGCTTGTTAATTTAATTTTGAAATATAGATACAAATGGACTAAAAATGGAAAACTTTTCAAATCATTTCCATCTGATGGCAGTGGTAATCTAGAAATTTCTACTCCGCAAGATGATGATGAGGGACAGTACCAGTGTTACGCAGTAAATGAGGCTGGAATAGCGACATCCAATTCAGTATTCGTAAGGAAAGTAGAGTTGAATCAGTTTCAGGGGACTGAAATAAAAACAGTGACTGTTAATGAAGGTGATTCATTTTATCTGACTTGTACTGCACCTGAGGGTTGGCCGAAGCCAATTATTTATTGGATACTTCAAGACTACCAGGGTAGCATTAAGTCTATTAATAATTCCCGCATAACCATCGATCCAAAAGGAACTTTGTGGTTCAGTAATGTTACCCAAGAAGACTTATCCAAAGACTTTTACTACAGGTGTATGACTATGCTTCCATTTCTTATTGAATTCAAGCTTGGCACCAGAATTATGTTGAACGTTGTACCTACGGAATCTTCAGACAGCCAAAATAAGCGTGAGCCAATAATACAGTATGTAACTAATCAAAGTGAAGTTGCTTACCGTGGGAAGACCGCTGAATTATTTTGCATCTTCAGTGGTACACCTCTGCCAGAAGTTACATGGAGCAAAGATGGTAAAGCTATAAAAACCTCAGACCGTTTAAGTTATCGTAACTATGGGAAGTCATTGAGAATGAAAAATATTGATTTTAACGACGAAGGTGTTTATACTTGTGAAGCATCAAATGATGTTGGGCGCATCGCTTCTTATTCAATTAATTTGAAAATTATGTCAGAACCTTTTTTTACTGTTGAACCAAAAATAGTAAACGCTGAAGAAGGTGAAGACGTAAAGTTTCATTGCGAAGCTCATGGTGAACCCAAGCCAGATATTAAATGGACTTACAATGGTAATCCTATTTTAGAAGCACCCTACAATCCTAGACGTGAAGTTACTAAAAATTCAATTCTTATAAGAGATGTAAATATTTATGACATTGCTAATTACGGATGCAATGCGACTAATACCATTGGATACATTTACAAAGATGTATATATCAACGTATCGGCAGCAAAAGATGAAACATCTCAACCACCTATAGAGTATACTGGCGGTGTCGAGACAGGAGAAAATTAAAGACATTAAATTAATGTATCAAGTAATGTATTCTTATACATATCAAGTGAATCCAATAATTGATAAGATATGTAAAATATTATTAAGTATGACTGCAAAATGTGAGATTTATAAAAAAAAAACTACTTTTATAATTACATTATAGATTTTAAGGTTCATGAAAGTAATGTGTAACTATTTTTTTTATTTTTAAAATAAATAGATTTTGATAAATTTTTTGAGTAAAAAATTTTTTAATTTTTAATTTCTTACCAATTCTATATTTGTGCTAAAAAAAAAGATCCTTTTCATTTCGTATTTTCAAAAAAATTGAACCATCAAGAGCTTTGACAATGTTTCAATCCGTCATCAGATGATTAATTAATAAAAATTTTTAAGTAGCTTCAAACTTAATATTTATAAAAATTATTTTAAAAAAAAATCAACAGTTTTTTTCTTAATTATTATTATAGATATATGTTATGATACATATGAGTTTTTCATTGAAATTTAATTTCTGTAACATAAATGCAATATGCAATTTATTTATAAGAAAAAGTTCGTCTGATAACTTGCATTCAATGTCATATACTTTAGAGATTAATTATTAGATATTAATTTCAAATGACATATTAAAGCTAGAAGTAGCTTGACGATTTTTTAATTTTTTTTAATAAACAAATTTGCTTCAAAAAATGATTTCTAAAAAATTGCATTTTTTATATTTATTCTATTTTCTAAATGTCAATTTATTTTCTCTGACATAATTTGTTTGTTAAAAAAATTTTTAAAATGATGAAATATCTGCTCAATTAATTTTAAATTAAAATAAAAGAATATAATCACCATGGTGAATCGACCTATTATACCAGTAGGGTTATCATAAGTATAATTTCATCCAAAAAGATGGCGTTAGTAACGGCGCGAGCGGGCTAAAAAACGATGACATCGACTGGCGCGCTGATCCCGGGAGGGGCTTCGCGTCTTGGATCTTTGGATCACATATATGTATATGTACGTTATAGGTACAAGTAACGCGTGAAATTACCTACACTCTTGCATTGTTAAATTCTGTATCCATGTGTCCACGGATTCGTCATCACTTGAATGTGTAGTTGTAGTACACCGAAGACCGCGAGTGAGACACCTATATCATCATTTATACTCCATAACGTACGGTACTGTTGAATAAAACAGTGGATTTTTTTAACAATGACATGGTGATACATTATTGAAAAAGTTCTTTTTACCATTTATAAATTAACTTAAACACGGTGAGTTTGTTAATTGCAATATTGGGTAATAATTGTGTGATATAACAGTGAAAAATTTTTTTATTTCATGTATAAATGTGTAAGAGAAGCCAGTGACAGGATTCTCGATCAATGCTACTGTCGGGTGTGCCCGTTCGCCAAGCCTACAATATCTTATTCCACCGTGTTTGATGTTTATACGTATACATATATATATACATCGGGTATATTTTACCTAATGACTGATAGTATTATTTCCGATAACATTATCAATTAAACAAATATTTTACTTTCTAATTTAAGTGATAATAATATTTAATTTAATTTTATCCAAAATATTTTTATTATTTTTTTATTTAACAAATCTATTTTTGTTCGATGTTGTCATATTATTCGTTTAATGAAAAATTCAACCGCGATATAAATGAGATTGAATGACGACGTCTTGACTAATTGTGCAAACTGACACTGACACTGTTGAACTACTTGCTTGATAATCTCCAGATGGTAAACCAGCTCCAAATCAGTCGCCAGACGATTCACCCGCCGAGGAACGACATCACTCATCCTCACCAGAGTCGCGACTGCAGCCTGAAGACCTGTCAGTTGCCACCAAAGTCACCAAGGAGTCGACGAAACAAAATACCGAGGTATCATTGCCTCCCTTGAAGACTCCAGAGCTCAAATTGTCGGTAAGAAAATTGCTGGGCTGCAGTCCGTCGCCGCCGCCGGTCTCACGAGACACATCACCAAGTAGTCCAATCAACGTTCAAGAGACCAAGGTCTCCTCGCCTCAGTCATTCGATTCAAGGAGTGACAAATCTTCTCGGAAAATCCTCGTCGAGGACAACACAAAAGGTGAGTGTTATCACTGACGATTCAACGACTACTGTACAATAAATAGAATAAGTAAAGAGTAGATAAATACAAGAGTGTCTGTCTGTATCCGACGGCTCAACTCGATACAGACTCGCATCACTTGGTAGTTGAAGGTCAGCCATCACGATAAGAGGGTTCGATGCTTCTTTATAATTCATTAGATTGGTCAATAAACTTCAGAAGTGATTCGTCTGCTGTGAGTTGATCCAAAGCTTAATAGCCTCTGACTTAAAGATTAGATATCATGATGATCTTTAAAACAGTCAAATCATCCCTAGTGTAAAGTATTTGAATGGTTTATGACATGATTGACGACACATGTACCTACTAACTAATAAATTTTTATTTACATTATTTTTATTGACAATATATGACAATACGTTTTTCATTTTTTTTTTTTATAGGATGATATGAGTGGTGACTGATGACACAGGGGAAGAAATAGAAATTTAAAGTTAGCATACAGCACAGATTTATTATTTAATATTTACACACTACGACACAATGGTTTGCACGCCCCTAAAACATTAAACGTCACTTGACACACAGGTCTATAACTTTTCCCGATTAAGCGCAAATCAAAAAGCAATCTGGCTCTGGGACGTATCACTGTGTACGTAGACATATATAAATATAGTATAGCATAACCAGCCCCTTCCCCAGGCAAAACTGTTTCACAAAAGTAAAACAATAAATATCATTTTTCCTGGCTGTGTAAGAAAACCAAGTGCCGCAGTACATCAGTCCTCGACTGACCAGTCCTAGCTTTTATTTCTTCTTTTTTCACTCGCTTTCTTTCTCTCTCTATCTCTTTATCTTACTCGCACTTTTATTTATCAAAGTTTTTTTTCTTTCTGACAGCTTATGTGTTTTATGTCTCGACACTTGGATTCGCTTTTACACCCGGATCTCCATCACTTTGGCGTTTATTCTGCTCGTGGACGGGGCTAAAATCTAAAGACCGAGAAATACTGGTGTAGTACCAGTAATTGAATTAAAAATCTAAAATAAAAAATAAAGTCATTGGTATTCAATTGAAATCTCGTGGCTTGACTTTGATTATTCATGAGACCAACGATGAGACGGCATATGCAATTGGTATACGGTCTTACGGTTATAAGGTCTTACTAGCTGGTATACTGGGTGCTGGGGCTGGTAAACCTTCGTAAGAGAAGAAAAATACCGTAGGGTGCGTAGGGTAATCGAATTAGTGACCCCTCGTGTCCGAGTGTGATTGCTCTTCGGGTTATAGGGGTGAATACTCTTTTATACTGAGTTTAAGTATTTCCTTCTCATTCTCTAATACAACTAAAGTTACCGTTTAACTTAACTGCCAATGTGTTGTTGTTGCTGATTCAGACAAGTCAGAATTTATTAACGATAATACACGATATTTATTGGTAATATTGGTTTTAAAATAGACGTTTAGTTTAGTCACTTAAATTGAAACTAAACCACCGTATAAGTTTATTTCAATTTTATCAAGTTAACTCTCGGTATTTAATTGATTAAAACGGTACATTATGCAATACACGTTCTAAAGCTCTGTTGAATTTTCTACTGGTTCTCGTTTCCCAGCTCCTTTTGCTTTCTCTCTTCACTCTTTTATAAGTGTGTATCTAACTATCTAGGATATGGTTTTCATAGGGTGATTAAGGTGAAATCCCCGAGAGGGTGACTAACGACCTTGTATATATGTATAAAATACTCGCACCTTAGCACTTTGCTAAATTATATAAATCACGAGCCCATCGTCAAGTAAGGGAGCTCTTAATGTATATATATATATATACTTAATCCCAGAGTGTTGGCATCTTACTTCAGCTTTTCGTATGCTTATATATCTCTTGGCATGGATTTACAAGTATTAAAGTATGCCTACTTTACTTTACCTTCACTAACTTTACATTAAACGTCCATTAATTAACTCTCTGGGTAATTGCTCAAGTGGTACTTTAACTCCAGGCAATATTACTCGCGGTACCTTGAAGAGTAATTATTGAATACCACTTGACAGCGACATTAATTATATTTCATTACCAAATAATGAATATTTGTTAATTCAAACACTCAAAATAAAATATTTGATAATTTTATAAACAATTTAAGGCTAAAATTTTCATCGAAAATTTAAAGTTTTCTTTAGTAAAACCTTCATTTTGTTAAAAATAGATATTTTCTTTACTTCTTGACTAATCACCTTAGATAACACTTTCTATTAACACAGTTTTTTTGGATTTTCGAATTTCAATGATTTAAATTGAAGATATGCTTACTGCAAAACACTTTTTTTAGTAGACCTTCCGGAGATTGTCTACAGAAACTAAAAAAATCATTATTTATAAAAAAAGAACTTATTAATAAAGTTCAAAGTCATTGTAGAAATCGTTAATAGAATTATTTCTTAACGCATAAAAAAAAATACATATTGTATTTTTCAAAATCTAATTGTATGTTAAAACAAACTCATCATTCATAACCATAAGTAAAAAATAAAAAAAAAAAAAATAACTTACTAATGTCGCCTAATGTAATTAAAATAGCGAGATTTAATTTAATGTTTGAGTAACTTAAATATTCAGATAAAATGAAATAGTTTGAGTTGGTAACAAAAGTTTTAATAATTTACGGGGATTGTCGAGACGTAATAAATGATCTGTGAAGAGAATTTAAAAAGTTTAATAGACTGGAAGGTATTATTTGGTAATTCATATGAATTTTTAATACCCGTCATCAAGGTTCCAACTGTCGTAGCAGTGGAAGTGGAAGCACTGGCAGTGGAGGTGGAGGTGGAGGTGGAAATGGTAAACAGAGAAGATCGAGGACAAACTTTACTTTAGAGCAGTTAGCTGAGTTGGAACGACTCTTCGACGAGACACATTATCCTGATGCATTTATGCGAGAAGAATTGAGCCAGAGATTGGGCTTGAGTGAAGCACGTGTTCAAGTTTGGTTTCAAAATCGTCGTGCCAAGTGTCGCAAACACGAGAGTCAATTACACAAAGGTAATTTAGATCCATAAATGTATATCACCATTATGATTAATGATTATGAATTATGACATAACAGCTGAGTACTTATTAATTAATTATTTTTCAATTTTTATTTCTGTAACTAGGTGGAATGGTCTTAGCACCAAGAAGTCCGCCAACTTCCTTAGAACCATGCAGAGTAGCGCCTTATTTACCAGCACTGCGACTACATCCTCCATCAGTACAATCGTCAACGAATGTCAGTGCAAATACTTCAGCTTCATCCGCGTTTGATCCAGCGGTACTTCACTATGCAGCAGCTGGTGGTCTTTTCTGTTTACCGCCTTCACACCCTCAAGTACATCCGCTGAGCTTAGCGGCTTCTTTCGCCGCGGCCGCTGCGCGCTCCAAAAACAGCAGCATCGCCGATCTCAGGCTAAAAGCAAGACGACATCAAGAAGCCTTGGGACTTGATAGGCCTGCGTAAGACTCAATTACTTTTAAAAATTTATTTTGTTCAATATTATTACCTATTATAACGATTAATATTATTAGACAGCGGTACTGTGATGATTTACGTATATTATTGTATAAAATTATCGGCAGGAGTTCGGAGTGGGATTTTTTTAGGATTATAACTGATGCGTTTTATCATTGATTAGATAATTATAATTATAATTTCTAGACTATGCTCGCACCTTCTATATTAAATATCAATTAAGTAGAAAATTAAATCGAGTCCCTGATTAAGAGAAGCGATTAGAATATCTTAAAATATTTTTGAATTCCTTATAAAAATTGAAAAATAATGGAAAGTATTGAAATAAAAAAATAATTACTTTCACATCATTGAAATCGAAATTTCAGCATTATTGAATAATTAAATAACATTTGAAAGTATTTTAAAATTGTAATATTTTTTAATTCTTTTGAATCTTCCTATTAAACGGAATTCAATTATTATCAAGTTACTGAAATTTTTTAGTGATTAAAAGAATTAAAAAGTATTCAAAATTTTTTATTTATAATCTTACCAACTCGCTTTTCTTGATCAGGGAGAACGATAAAATTGAAATACTGATTTATTTTTATCCAAAAACATTTTAACTTTTTCGTTAAATCTTCATCAGACAATCAGACAATTCATTCATTGCACATATTGTACGAAAAACAACTTATCAAAAATAAACGAAACTAATAAATTTCATAAAATAATAATTAAAATGACAATTAAAATTGTACATATTACATGACCATGTCATGATGACACTAATGGAAATTTGAGGGCCAGAATAACACAATAATATGCAAAATTGAGTTAAATTTATGTTATTGCCGAGTGTTGATTGTGATGCCTGATGAAAATTTAATACAAAAATTTGAAATATCGCTGGAGTAATGAATTAGTGTATCAATTTTCTGCTTCTTAATTTATATTATTCTAATTTATGGTTGTAAACGTGCTCATAATTTATCCGTACGATTATATTGGTTAATTTATAAAATATTTGTACACGTTAAGATGAAATAGGTTGTATTCTTGAGAGAAATCAAAATACATCACTTATAACTGGACTTTTCGAGTAAGCTCAGCAGATCTAGTAGCTCGGAGTTTTAGTTCAGTATGAGGGATGAGCAGAAGATAGAGACGACGCGCAAGAGCATCGAGGGCGCTAATGCAATAACGCAACACCACGCGGATAAATCAAGCTGCAAAAGCAACTGGGCTTCTGTTGCAGAGGCTCTACTCCGGCAACACCGATACCACCGGATAGGATAGGATAGGAGCAGAGTGTAATCGCGTTACCAGCCTCCCAGTCCCTTGGGCGCCGTTATATCTCGACTACTACACACTATGTTAATATACACCGAACCCGCTGTACACGAGACTAGATACCGTATGTTTATACAGCAGCTTTGCACCAGGTACTTTCAAGTGTATAATGACTTTATACGGACGGGTTAAGTGTATTTAGGTTGTAGTCAATGAGCTTAATGCGATTGACAATTGCCGACGGCCAGAAACCCACGAGTAAATTTCAAAGCTCAATTTATTCACCAGCTAATTGAAATTTTGATTTATTATTTATTTACAAAAAAATTTTTGGTTTGTATTATAATTTATTTTTTTTATATAATTTACACTATATTATGTCAAGATTTATTATAATTTATAGCTTAATTTTTTTTTAGGACGATTAAAAAGACAGGGTGAAGAAAAAAATCGGCAATCGCGCGGAGATTTGTGAGACGCCTTTTTTTACCCGAGAGACTTGAATAATATAAAACTCCCCCGTTTTTCGCGCTCGGGATAATTTTGAATAAAGAGAACGAAAGAAAGGAAGTAGGTAGATTGCCAGTGGTGGTGATAGTGCTGCTACTGGAGAAGTAGGAAGAGCTAAAGAATACTTTTCGCTTTATACTTATTTTAATCCGAGTTTTAAGAAGTTTTTTCAGCGCCGCACAAATTGGCTGTCATTTGGCGATTTCTCCTCAGGGATTTCAAATTCACCAGTTGAGGAACTAAAAATTCCATCATAATTATTTTTATTTCGCTCCTTATTTTTTAATTTATCATTCACGTTAACTGGTTACTTTTTTTCCAGCGTTAAAATCTACCACAGTAGATACAAGATTAAGATGGTGGATTTAAATTATGATTAAATAGTTCATCTTGATGGGTTCAGTGTTGAAACAGAGATCTATCTTGTATAATAATAGATTATAATTTAGGGGTGGTAACGACAAAATGATACCCCGCGAAAACCATCCACGACTATCAATTACTTGTACAGTACTATTGTAATACACCAGTCTAGTTTTGTTGCGATGGGGTGAGTTTTGCTCTACGGGGGTTCTCGCCACTTGTCCGTGGTAGCGGTTATTAATTGCATCGGGTGAATAGAATATATAGAAATCGCATATACTATGTTAAATTGATTACTGCAATCGTTTAAAAGATATTCGTAACCGAACCCCAATGCTTTCTGATTTCAAGAATTTTCTAATAACTTTTTCAAATATATCCATTAAATTCATGAATTGTAGATATTTTCATAAAAATTTTAGCTCATATTGCTTGAATGAAAGTTTTTAACTATTTTTTACCCTATTCACAAATGTAAGGAAGCTTTACTTTTGGACAAAGAGAATGATACGTCCGTTTTTATTATTTACAAGGAAAAGTTCCCAGGTTTCCAGCTCCGATTTTGATGCCATTGAAATATGTTATTTTTATAAACGATTAAAATAATAAAATGACTTCTTACACAACGAACAGCGAATAATCGTTTAGTTTTTACATTCCGGAATTTCACACTGAATATTACCTCCATCTCCAAATGCAAAACTCACAGGATTTTGCGTTTGAATCTGATTTTATTTGGTTTTATCTCAACGTAACTTTTGAACCAAAAATATTGAAATTTTGAAATTTTATTATTTTAATCGATTATAAAAATAACATATTTCAATGGCATCAAAATCGGAGCTAAAAACTTGGGAACTTTTCCTTATAAATAATAAAAACGGACGTATCATGCTCTTTGTCCAAAAGTAAAGCTTCCTTACATTTCTGAATAAGGTAAAAAATAGTTAAAAACTTTCATTCAAGCAATATGAGCTAAAATTTTTATGAAAATATCTACAATTCATGAATTTAATGAATATATTTGAAAAAGTTATTAGAAAATTATTGAAATCAGAAAGCATTGGAGTTCTGTTATGAATATATTTTAAACGGTTGTAGT